TATAATATCCACAAACACCCCCTTCTGATAGTAAAAAAAACCTGTAAACCATTTATTATCGATCATCATTTTTGTATCAAGTTTGCAATTGCATAACACATACACCTAAAAATAACTTTATTGATAGTTAGAAGATTTCATATTATGTAATCTATATATACAGAGAGAGAGAAAGAGGGGGGGGCGGAGAGAGAGAGCGATGAATATAATCAATAATCATATAAGATTTCGTAAATGTTTTAAAGAATTTCATCAACCACAACCACAACCACAACCACAACAACATCACCACCAAACAATTCATGAAACTATTTTACAAGATAACAACCATTAAAGAGTTCCATTTTGTGTGTGTGTGTGTGTATGTGTGTATATGCGTGCTTGTGTGCTTGTGTGCAGATTTAAGTGTCAATTGGATACATAATGATATATCATGATACTAGTAACAATATATTTCTTTATTACATCATTTTATGGATTCCTTCTTTTCTTTTCTTTTTGTTGTCAGTATACATTCATCATTTGAAGTAAACATTAGGATGATACAGAATGTTTATGAGTCAATTATTGATGAGAAGTGTAAAGTAAGATTTCATAATGTAATGATAAGTATATGAATAAGTAAACAGTGGTCTTGAGTGCTGTTAGAGGTATGAGGGCGGTTATCACTTCCCGGTTGCTCACACCTCAGAAGGGTTCTGCTGGAGGTACCAGAAAAGAAAATTAGATTAAAGGTGGTCGTAGTGACCTGAGAGCGTGACTGCAGTGCCCAAGGGACAACTGCTTGAGGTCGGTCACACACGACCTTTTTATGAGTAGTTTTTGTGTTAGCTCCGTACTTATTGAAACCTTACCGCCAGAGACGGATATCCGTGGGATAAGGCGAGGTGTGCATGTTTAGGTTCGACCTATTCTAAACCCACTGCACCACTCCTTGTGAGAAGGCAGCATTGCTGTTATGCTGGTTGTCTGAAGGAAACACCTTACTGCTGTCACACCTCTGTACAGTCAGCAGTACGACTTCGCTTTCGGACCTTGGTTTTGTTGCTTTTGGTCATTCCGCTCTTCAACCGACCTGTCTGACATGGTAGGACTTTGAGGAACGGTTTTTCCAGCCAGTATAGCTTAGTTGCTTCATCACGATAGGCTAGCTCGCCCGACCACCACGTCAAGGTACAACAACGGTCAGGATGAATAAGTAATAAAGATGATAGAAGATAATCTAATCATAGATTAAAACATGAGGAGAATTGACAAAATTGTTAAAATAATAAGCTGTGAATGATATCGGTCTATCAGTATTGACGTTATAGTATAGAACTCTTTAACAGAGTACAGGACTGAACCTAATGGTGACCAAAATCTAGACCGTTGAGTTCCGAATTGAGCGTTTGCATAGAGGCGAATGCTATACACTTGACAGGATTAAGTTTCATGTATCATGAGTTTTTAATACAACTTTAGAAACTTAGTTTACTAGTAAGCAAATGATTATAGTTTTATTTGAAGATTTTTCAGTCAGTCAGTCAGTCAGTTACAACGTAGGATCAGGCACATATATGCATCGGTCCAAGTTGCCAAACCGCATTAGCACAACAACATGAACACCGGATTCATAGAAGTAGTTAATTCAGTGGTGGTAATATATAGAAGAAAGATTGCATATAAGGATATAGTACAGGAAGAAAGAATTAGTTCGTAGCAAGAAAGACTTGAAGCGATTTTAATCGCTTAGTTTAAAGGAAGACAGAGAGTGTATACACCGACGCCATTGAGATCGATTCTGAGCCATGTCACCAAGAGTCTCCAACCATTGGTTACGATAGTCACGCGGACCCCAACCAGGTAGTCTGCATCTACCAACATGACTCAGATCAGAAGTTAGTGACTTCAAGCAATGATGTCACGTTTTGGTTTGGCCGCCCCTAACTTTCTTCCAATCATCCCTAACACCGGTTAGCATTGCGCGTCATGGTAATCGGTGTTCAGTCATACGCAACACGTTGCCCAACCATCTCAGTCGATGAAGGTTCATAACCTCATCAATTGATTTACCATCATTCCCTAATACCCTGCGTCTAACCTCACTATAACTTACCCGGTGATCCCATCAGATACCCGCAATATTTCTAAGGCACCTATGGTCAAATACTAGTAACTTACGAATATCTTCTACTCTTAAAGGTCAAGTTTCTCAGCCGTATAGTAGAATGGAACGAACTGAAGAGTTTTCAAAGAATTGGTTTAACTGTCATGTATTATTTATCTTAAAAAGTATTAGATCTATTGAAGTTGAAAATAAGAATGATTATTGAATTTCATTTCAGTGATTCATCACATTTCAGAAGGTATGAAAGTTATGGGTTTGAAACTTGACTAGATCTTCCATGTGCATTGCGTAGAGATCTAATACTAAGATCAAATAGTTCATCATTGCTTACTAATTTTACATTGATTCAATTCAGTTTAATCTGTTATAAATATCACTTTCAATCTAAACAGATCTCTACAATATCTGTCATTAAAGACTATGTTCTACTAAGCCCTCAAATGCCCTGGTACGTCCGAGAGTGGGGAGAGTCCGCTCTCCCTCTCGAAATGCTCTCACATGGCCACGCGTATATAGCCTCTGCCAGGGAAGTCCTACTCACTGACTTCACGTGGCATTACTGTTGTTTACAAAAATGAGAGGACGAAAAGCGAATGTCCGGCACCGGCTTCAACCGGATCCCAAACCAATGGTGCACATGGGTTGGCTCCAGTATCCTGTGGGAACAAATGACGTATGAACCAATCGTTGGTCACCGGCTACCATGGGACTGCATCTCCTCACGATGCTCCACTGCCTTGTGGGTCAGACGTTCAGGTCGAAGGCTCTGGGTATGGTCCCCTAAGTAAACCACCTGCTTCGGTTTGTGCACCCGGGCAGTATCACAGCCCTCACACAAATCAATTGAGATTCGTGTGGCGCATATGTACTTGGTGCCTCCCTGTACCTATACTTATGTGTTATAATAAATAAATAAATAAATAAATGTTCTACTAAAGAGAGAAGAGGATAAATAATCCATACAAGACTTTCAAATCTCCACAACCACAATACTAATAATTAACATGTACACACTAGTGACTAGATTTGGGAGGGAATTCTCGGAGTTCTGGTGAGAAGCCGTAACCAGTGGAACTAATCCGTGTCGGATAGAGACAGGTATCTACCTCAGTATAATGGAAGATGGTCACGCAATTTCGTGGATTGATTGATGTTAGACACTAACACCAATGGATACCGGCTGACTCAGTGGTCCAGTAGGTTAAGCGTTCCAACGCGAGATTGAAATCCCTGAGTTCGAGATTGTGGATGCGCACTGCTGAGGAGTCCCATACTAGGACGAAACGACTGTCCAGTGCTTCCAGGTTTTCAACAGTAGTCTAACATCAGTCGATTCACGATCTCAATCAAAAACCTGATTATCTCCACGACCCCAATACTGATTATCATAATCGTGATATGAAATGAGTAAAATGTTTCGTTAGACTGATCATTCAAATGAAAATCATAAGAATCGCCTTATTTGTATGTTCATTTACTTTATGACATACTCCTTTAGGATGCTAAAGCTTGTCTGTAATCCTTATAGTTCCCATTATATGTAGAAGATGTGTTTAAGATAAGATGGAAGTAAAATTCTGTACGTTTGTTCGTACTTTCATGCGGACATTCAGTCTTTATGTTCTCACAAATTCTAATCTTCTGAATTCTTCATGTCCTTTTCTTTTTCTTTCTCTTTACAAATTTATTTCACTGGATTATACTCCTTGAATAACACCTTCAAACTCTAATCTTTGTGATTACTGCTTATATTTTTACCAGCTCTATCACTATAGGATTTGAATGAACAATTGATGATGTGATATGGCAACCTAAACTGATATACGTACGTACGTACGTACGAAGTTCTATGTTGTGGCTAGACTGGAATATATCTTCAGTTGAGATACGAATAATTTTGTTAATGGATTTTAACTACTAAAATCATTAAATAGTAGTATATTCATGTTGTCTAATGTTTCTAGGCCTAATTTTAATCTTGGTGATCTCAAAAATAGGGAGTACTGAACAGAAAATTCATTCTAGCATGCCATTTATCACCAGTTTCTAACAATCTACTTCTTTTTCACGACCATAGCCATAATCTATTTCAATAATCTTGAAGTTATCATTATTGGGATTGTGGAGATTATTAAGTTTTTTGATTGGGATCATGAATCGACTGATGTTAGACTACTGTAGGAAACCTGGAAGCACTGGACGGCCGTTTCGTTCTATAGTGGGACTTCTCAGTGGCAGTACGTATCCACGATCCCGCTCCCCACGGGATTCGAACCCAGTACCTTCAGTCTCGCGTGCGAACGCTTAACCTACTGGACCACTGAGTCAGCCGGAATCCAATGGTGTTAGTGTCTAACATCAACCAATCCATCTTCCATTATACTGAGGTAGATACCTGTCTCTACATGACACGGATTAGTTCCACTGGTTGCGGCTTCTCACTACAACTCCGAGAATTCCCTCACGAAGCTAGTCACTAGTGTGTACATGTTAATTATCAGTATTGGGGTTGTGGAGATTATTAAGTTTTTGATTGATTGGATGCCGGCTCAGTGGCTCAGTAGGTTAAGCGTTCGCACACAAGACTGAAGGCCCTGGCTTCGAATCCCGCGAGAAGCGGGATCGTGGATACGTACTGCCACTGAGAAGTCCCACAATAGGACGGAACGACTGTCCAGTGCTTCCAGGTTTCCAACGGTGGTCTAACATCAATCGATCCATGATCTCAAACAAAATCTTGAAGTTGGTGTTTTCATCACATCCACAAATTGTCGACTAACAACTGACTATGGATTACCAAGTAATTTGTAACAATAAATATTTTCATAAAATGTTCAATATTTTTTCTCGTAATCATTACTATACCATATACTCATTTTCATGACATTAGTCGTTCAGGTTCCACTTCCAATTCTGATCAGAATCTTCCAAGATCATTATCAATTATCAGTTGTCACAAGGCGATTATATCTCTTGGAGAACAAATTAAGTTACCAACAGAACTATACAGTGTATTTCAAGTGAAACCTACAGAGTTCTCTTTGATATCTGATAAAACGAATCTCGAGACTATTGATGATATTAGCCATCTAGTACAAATATGTAATGTTGATCCAAGTTTGATTGGAAGTAACTGTAATTACTACTTTCAAGTAAGTGAATTATTTATTTTGGTTACTACAATCATTACCATATGAATGAATCGTATTCATGGATACTTGTAAACTAATACCATATATAAGGAGTAAGCATCTATGAGACTACGTTTATGAATTAGAAGGATTATTTATTTATTTATTTTAACACATAAATATCGGTACAAGAAGGCACCAAATACATATGCGCCACACAGATCTCATTTGATATGTGTGAGAGCTGTGATACTTCCCGGGTGCCCAAACCGAAGCAGGTGGTTTACTTAGGGGGCCACACCCCGAGCCTTTGACCTGAAGATCTGATCCACAAGGCAGTGGAGCATCGTGAGGAGATGCAGTCCCATGGAAGCCGGTGACAAACGATTGGTTCATACGCCATTTGTTCCTTCAGGCAGGATACTGGAGCCCATGTGCACCATAGAATTGGGATCCCATTATAGAGCCGGACATTCGCTTTTTGTCCTCTCATTTTTGTAAACAACACCATCGCCACGAGAAGTCAGTGAGTAGGACTTCCCTGGCAGGGGCTGTATACGCATGGCCATATGAGTGCATTTCGAGAGGGGGAGCGAACTCCCCCCACTCTCGGCCGTACCAGGGCATTTGGGGGCGAATTAGAAGGATGAATATACTCTATACAAGTTCTTTGTGTACATCGGTCTACGATTAGAATGAAATTGTAGTTTAATTGGTTTAAGTATTTAGATTAACTAGTCCAGAGACATTTTTGGTCACCAATTTTCCCATGAAAGTATCGCTATTTGTCAGTTCAGTATATAAATATCTAATTTAGGTTTGTTATGTAACATGCCTTCAGTAGGAATAGCCTACGAAATTGTATCGTGTCAACACTTAAGATAGATTTACATTAGTTAAAAGGATTCATCTTACTTTTATGAAGACTACACTAAAAGAGGATCATCATTTATTCCTACTTGTTATGATGTTTGATAGTGACTATAAACATTGAATTGCTTGATCTATAGGACCCCATTCAGCGAGCCATAGTAGAAGTTTGATATAAACTACTCTGATATACTCTAGACACAGATTATTCTCATCTAACATCCTATCAAACAGCATTCATACAGCTATCCAGATAGACTAACTTCTTGACTACTTCTGTCAATACATCCTCTTACAAGTCTTGTCAAAGTACATGCTATACTTACATACATTGATTCCCAACTGATTAAGTGGGATTTCTATAGCTTGGGTGTCACTGCTTAATAAAACAGTAATATTCGCACATTCAAAATCCAAAAATTTTTTTCTCTTAGTAACAGATTCGCATCACCAGTACCTAATCCCATTAGAACTGTCTCCAAATGTCATCGGTGGAACAGTTGAAGAGGAATGATGAAATTGGACAATCCTGTCTTAACTTCACATTCTGAACGGAACAATGAACAGAGGCGATTGTACTGGAAGTACTTAAACACTTAACAAAAAAATGAAAATACGACCATCACATCCCTACATTGGACGATAGTCAATAGATTAGAAACAATGAGGAAAAGATTTCTACATTGTTAACTTTAAATAACCTTAAACCTAGCACGGTTTGGGACGGAACATACAATCGGTTTGTTAGTATCAATCCAATTAGGCAGATACGACTCCATTATCAATGGCATCATTTATTTTGAGAACATCTTTAGAGAGTTCATGTACATGATCTTCAGTGACGATCATTATATTCATCACTTCAGTGTACTGAGGATCTCTGTGTACGAAAGTAAATTATTCATGAGGCGAATAGGTATTCTTTAGAGATTGCTTGACGATTATCTTTCATTATCATGATGTAGTTTATTGAACCTATATACTTGTCTAAAATCTGATATATTTATATAATATACTTTGAACAATATAATCATGTACACTTGTTATGAACTCCGCCTGTAGCTCTTCCAGAGTTACTGCCGCTCCCAAGCCCGGGTAAAGGAGCAGGGTTGGACATGGGGTTAGCGTCTCCATCCCGTAGAAACCTAACTCGCTAAAAAAAAACGCTAAGTACACTTGTTATGAATACTTCTATATGAAAAACATGAGGTTAACTAGATAAGGGAAGAATAAAAGATGACAAGGATAATAAGGAGATCAAATGTGAAATATACCATGTTGGGAGTGAAATCACTGTTACTAGGGTAAGCTTATTGTGAGAATGAAGTTTTCGAATGTATAAAGGGGGATGTTATTAACAAGTAACTGTATGATCAGATTATTCAAAATGTATTGAAGTTAATTATACTATATAATTCTGATCATCTTCGTCTCCTCATTAAATTACCAAAGGGACTAATTGTTTTAAAGTTAGTTGGTTGTTTTTTTTCTACTTTCTAAAGGTTATGTCTCCATCCCGAAGAATGATCAATGATTCAACTATATGCCTTGATAGTTCACAAAAGAAAACTGATCATGTCCAATGTTCCTGTCGAGAGAATAACAATGATTTCTCACCGATGAACACACCAAACCTTCTTCGAACTGTTAGTCATTCTCAGGGTAACGTAGGAGAAACTGTTAATATTCCCTTTGTAATTCATAATTATTCATGTCAATCAGCTTTGGAAAGAGATCGATGGGTACAATTGTGAGTATATATTTATTGAAGCTTAAATAGATCAATTTCCATTTATTTTGGTGCTCACGAATGACTAGATTTAAGGAGTAATTCTTGGAGTTCTAGTCGGAAACCGTGAAAAGTGGAACTAATCCTCCTCGGGTATGAGGCAGTTACTGTTATGTTTGATCATCGCAATTGTTATATCTAGTCGTCACTGATTGTTGTGCCAAAAAAACACTGGTCACTTATACTCGGAACGAGGGACCTCTGCAATTCCCACGACGCGAAAGTAACAACACAAAGACTAGTATAAGTGAAGATTTATTAGCCCCAAACCACTATGACGACGATAATAATAACAATGAATGGTCATCGCATTGAATCAAAACGGAAGTAATGATGAACAAAATTCATATTGAGTAAATCAATCAAAAATACACATATCAGCTACCCACCGAAGACAATCGGCACAATGTCGTGACATGGTTGAAGTTAAACAATAACACTATTGGATACCGGCTAAGTGGTCTAAAGGTTAAGCGTTCACACGCGAGACTGAATCCCACAGGCGGAATCGTGTATACGCATTGCTGAGTCCCACACCGAGACAAGACGTTTGTTCAGTGCTCCCAGTGGTGGTCTAGTTCAGATCGACTAGTGAAGACAACACAAAAATTTTTTTAAAAAAACCACGTTTTCCTTCATGCATTTATGAAACATGAGAACACTTTGATGGAGTTGGAGCACAAAGGATTTCAACATGTTTCCCGTTTCTTATTTCTTGATCAATTCCTTGCGATAAATATTGAGTGGTCGCCAGTTAGATGTTAACGGTTCAAGAATCGATATCTGATTAATGTATATCCTTTTCGATGCATATTGCCAGTAACCATGATATCTCTGATTGAGCTCTTATGTAACTTGTACAGTGAAATGTCGTACACGTTCCACAAACCCAGCTGAATAGGTTATGAGACACTAATAGGCATAATGATGTGTTAAAACAAACAAACAAACAGATAACTTGTGTGAAATATCCAAATGGCAGGAAACAGGTTTGAATAATTTTTCTGGTTAGCGTTTTTTTAGCGAGTTAGTTTTCTACGGGATGGGGTCGCTAACCCCATGCCCAACCCTCCTCCTTTATCCGGGCTTGAGACCGGCAGTAGCCCCCGGAAAGGGGCTCCAGGCGGAGTTAGGAAACAGGTAGCCCAGATATTCAATTAGGTCGCTTTAGAAAGTATGTATGAGGGAATTGGATGATAAATGACTAATTAATGTTGAAGTGATCGTTTGAGTCATAGTAACCATGATTTGAATATTTCCATTGTTTTTGGCAAACAAAATTCCTCTCTTTATTATGATATGGGGGGGTGAGTGGGTGGGGCAGGTGCGTCTATTGTCGAAATTGTCATCATCATGACGTTAACCATTAAAACATGTGATTATATATGACGGATTGATTAAATGACCTTGATGTTGGAATAATGAGGACCCCTTCTACAATTAGTATATTTCAACCAATAATCAACTTAGAATTCGATGTAAGTCTATATAGACTTACACCCACGCTAAACAATATAATAGAGAGACAGACAGGCAAAGAGAAAGCACTTTCTTTATTCCTTTTTTAATATAGACACAGGGTAAAGAGTTGATAGACATATATATTTTTTCAAATTATTTTAACCAATCAAATGTTAGAATGAATTCCATCAGAAATCGATCGATCGATATTATGGCTCCATACTTTTTAAACTCGACTCTATTTTATATCCATTTACGCGATATATATATCGATAATGATGTGGTGGTGTGTTCGAAGTGTGTGTGTGCGTGTGCGTACGTATGTGTCTGTGTATATGTATTTGTATGAGTCATAACATGTGTAAAATCGATTACATCCGATAAAAATAGTGACATTTAAATTTAATTCACGGTAGTGGATTTAGTCAATGTGTTTATCTCTATGGCTTAAATATACATATGTATATCACTACTATAATTCACACATTATCCATTTCAAAGAACCTATTTATGATTGTGACATTTCAGAGAAGATAAGAACGAATAAAATCCCCTTAACAAACAGGTTTTCACACTGAATCATCAATACTTGAAACCTATTAACTAAAACAATGGTATCCGTACCCTTAATTGATTCTTTCAACAGAAGATTGAATACTTACAGAAGTATACTAGAAAAAGGAATAATATAAGCCTGTAGGCTTACTTTCTTGACTATACAAATTTGAATCTATATTGGAATAGTTGATCACTTTTTAGTTGTTAATAAATCAACTAATCCATATGAATGATGATGATGAATCAATGTTTTCGTAAATTGAGAAGCTTTTCTACTCCTAAATTAAAACATGATCATGATCATGATTATGATATTCAATATTCAATGCCATCAATAAACAATCAAAGTGAACTAGCTTTAATGGATTTACATGAATCATCGGATTTAATAATAGTTTCTAAGCCATCTATTGATTCATTTAAAAAAAATAATGAGAATAATGAGAAATATTTAAATTTAACAACAACAATAATACAAAGACCAATATTAGATTATCGTTTTACACCACCATTAACTAGATCATTGATTTCGTGAGTTTTATTCTATTTCTACAAAATTGTTTATATCACTAGTTGAAATCATGAATCCATTGAAGCTAGACACCAACATGGAAAACCTGGAAGCACTGGACGGCCGTTTCGTCCTAGTATGGGACTCCTCCTTAGCAGTGCGCATCCACGATCCCGCTCCTCGCAAGATTCGAACCCAGGACCTATCAGTTTCGCGCCAGGCGCTTAACCAACTAGACCACTGAGCCAACCGGCATCGAATGGTGTTAATGTCTAACTTCAACCAATCCACGAAGTTGCGCCACCGTACACCATTGTCTTCAGTGAGCTTCCAGGTTTTCCATGGTGGTCTAGCTTCAATGGATTCATGATTTCAACGAGTGAAATTCCTAAAATCTCCACACAATCCCTTCTGATAAAATTGTTTATAGTGTATGCAATGGTAGTGACAATAATGAAATCAGAAGAGTTTTCCCCTTGGATATTATAATAATTTCAATAGTTGAGATTATGAGTCGATTCGAGTTAAAGCACTACTTAATCACTAGACGGTTGCTTAACTTCGTGGATTGGTTGAAATTGGACAATAACAGCATTGGATGCCGGCTTAGTTGTCTAGTGGTTAAGCGCTCCTTCACGAGGCAGGATCATGGATGCACATTATTGAAGAGTTCTATACTAGGACGAAACGGTCGTTTAGTGCTTCCAGGTTTTTCATGGTGATCTAGCTTCAATGGACTCATGATTTCAACCAGTGAAATTACTAAAATCTTCACAAAACCTCTTCTGCTATTTGATTCGTATCTGTGCATTGATGGATTAAGCGTTTCTTTAGTAAGCCACCAATTGAAAATGATAAATTTTATCTGATTAAGCTGTTATACAGTTGTAATAAAGTGAAATAAATCCATTTCTATGATCGCGACATTCAAAATAAAGAGATTATTAAACGATTATCTACACTAGATCCCTCCTAGTGTCTATTCCACAGGACTTCAGCACAACTCAGATCAAGAACACGTAATCAGCCTGACTAGAACGTAAATATATTTCCACGCCCAAGACTGACACAATTCACAACAATGAACAACCAATAATAAGTGTGTGTGTGTGTGTCACAATAATAAGGATAAGGGAATATATGTCCGACTAAGCAGACAACCAATTATGATCATTCTCGCCCACACATCACCTCCCTCGTGAAGTTTGATCACTTTTGGGTCTATTTGAGAAAATCTCGTTTGTTTTAAGTTCCCTTGATGATCTTCGGCTAGCTTCTGATTTCAGTTCATTTTTCCTCATTTCAACTTGTGGTAGTGGTGGGATATTAAATGTATCACATAATACTTCGATTGGTAAAGATTTGGCTTTAGGTGACTCATAAACATTTTTACTGTCTCACAGTTGATTGATGTGTCTAATAATTAGTGTATTTTCGACCATCACTTCATACATTACCGTCCCACGTCTTTTTTTTAATACATCCATATATCCATTTTGGCTTACCTGGCCGAAAATCACGTGCATAGACTAAGTCACCTGCTTTGAATCCTTGATTCTTCTTCAGGTAATTCCCTTCCTTATTTTTTTATAGTCTACTCATTCTGTCTTTCGGGTTGAAAACATTAAAAAATGTTCGACCAAATGTTGTTTTGGCTGATGATTTAATCGTATTGCAGAAAGTGCTCAACGACAGGTCCCATAAACCAAAATTATCTATTCAGTCAATACCTAATAAGTTGGTATGATAGTTTCCAGACACATGACACTATCCGGTCATAGTCTTGTCACCCAATGTGAGAGAAAGCTACATTTCTCCAAGAAGAGTAATGTTAGTTCCGTTTGCAGTCTTAGCGTTATAATATGTAGGATGATATCGAGGTCGACCAAGTTTTATCCACGTCTCTCTAGAAATTAATGTTATGTCAGACCCCGTATCCATTTGCAGCTTAACAGGTTTATCATTGAAAAACCTAGTTACCTATTTCTTTTTAAATGTAAACGGAGCACCTTTTGTGGTCAGAACAACATTCGAATTATGTGAAATCTCTTTTGATGTCTGCTTCTTATTCCCTTTACGAAACTTACACTGATAGTCGACAATCTTTTGTCCACTTTTACAACATACTTGTGCATGACCATATTTACGACATCAGAAACAAACTCTTTTTTTTTTTAAATAGCAAACATTAGCAGAATGACGCTTACCGCATCGCCAACAACACGTTTTGGGTTTCATTTGGGATTTGCTGAGAGTACTGATCCTTATTTCTATTAAAAGCTTTCCGCAATGTTTTAACTTCCACGGGTTCACTGTTCTTTTCTACTAGATTTGTGTCATGCTTCAAATGAACCATTCTTTGACATTCTTCAGATACTGATTGTGGATTGATATTGCCCCCAAATGCCCTGGTACGGCCGAGAGTGGGGAGAGTCCGCTTTCCCTCTCGAAATCTTCAGTCTGTACAATGTTACAATCAAAACAAGTACAGCTTAATGTTTATTATGTTAGACTATTGTTTATCTACTCCTACTTACTTACTTACGCCTGTTACTGTCAATGGAGCATAGGCCGACGAGCAGCATTCTCCAACCTTATTCTGTCCTGGACCTTTCTTCTAGTTCTATCCAATTGTTGTTCATTTTTCTCATGTCTGTCTCCATTTCTCAACGTAATGTATTCTTTGATCGTCCTCTTTTCCTTTGACCCCAAGAGGGGGGGACCCCAAGCGGAGTTTTTATCTACTACTTGACTTGATGTAATTGAGATACTTTCATTCCAGATATATAAAACTACTTCATATTTATTGAATACACTTTGCATGACTTTTCTATGTGTAAGTTTAATAAATAAATATACTATAAGGAGATGAATGAATATACACTTTATATTTTTTCAGTTTAAAGCGGCTGATCAATCCATCTCAAGATGCTCAACGTCGTAAAGAGAATTGTTTGAATGTATGGATTCAAGAAGCAAAAGGATTAACCATAAAAAATAGGTGAGTAACACTCTCTATGTTAATAGTTTTGATAAAGTTAACATTAAAGCACAATCACTTTGTTTTTGTTCTAAGACGGGGTGGCCGTGTGGTTAAGGCGATGGTCTGCTAATCCATTGGGGTTTCCCTGCGTAGGTTCGAATCCAATCCCCGTCGAGTGTTGCTTTCCTGCTTCGATCTGGGCACCCAGGCAGTATCATAGCCCTCACACAAATAAAATGAGATCTGTATGGCGCATATGTATTTGGTGCCTCCTTGTACCAATATCTATGTGTTAATATAAATAAATAAAGACACTAAGTTTATGAACTAATATTGTAAAACTTAAACCCAGCAACAAAGATCTTGTCACGATTTCATAATCAATTCGGTTAAAAGTTCGAATTCATACTACGAATATTGATTTTATGAATTGAATAGGATTATTAATTATCCATTGAATGTCATCATTAAGAATCCGAGTGATTATTGATATACTGTCATTTGTGAATAATAACTTATAAGTTAAAATTCATTTCTTTTATAGATTTAATGATGCTAGGATTAAATTGTAACTTTTATTGTACTAGCGAATATTTTAATTGTATTATCTGGAGCGGTATCATGTAACCCTCCCACGGTTGCGACCCGGGTTCAACTCTTTGGCTGGTGTAAGGCTTTGTCCCCAAATGCCATGGTAGGGTCGATGGTAGGGAGAGTTCGCTCTCATACTCGAAATGCTCTCACATAGCAACACGTATACAGTCACTAATAGGGAAGTCCTAGTCACTGCTTTCCTGCGGTGGGTGTTTTTTTTTTACGCAACTGAAGGGTCGAAAAGCAAATGTGTGGCGCTTTAATTGGGTTAGTGGATACGGAGAATGCACCTAGGGGAGTTGAAAAACCGTGATTCTAAACCAGTAGTGCACATAAGCTATAGTATCCTAAGAGAACAAATGGCGTATAAACCTCTTGTTGGTCACCGGCTACCATGGGACTTCATCTCCTGACGTTGCTCCACTGTTTTGTGGCTCAGACCTTTAGATTGAAGGCTTGGGATATGGATCCGTAAGAACACCACCTGCTTCGGTTTGGGCACCCAGGAAGTATCCCAGCTCTTACACAAATCGAATGATTTGTGCGGTGCATATGTATTCGGCTACCCTTTTGTATCAATATTTATGCGTTCAAATAAATAAATACCAAAGTGAATTTATCATTATTCTTAAAATTGAGATTAATCAAATGAGTCTTATATAGATAGGATAGTTAATTGTCTCTATTTCTGTTTTCCTTGTGAAAAAAGTCATTCAGGCAAACTTGAATTTTTAATAGAAACAACGAAATGATAAAAATGACTTCTCAGATGATGGAAGAGATCAGTCAGTCAGTCAGTAACAACGTGGAACTTCGTACATACGTACATCAGTTCGAGTTGCCATACCACATTAGCACAGAGATTCAGTTATCGCTTCAAATCCCATAGTGGTAGAGGTACTGAAAGTATAAGTAGAGATAGGGAACATTAAGATGGAAGAGATAGTTTGTAGACACTAAATGGGGTACTTTAATGCCAAAAAATGTTCATTCAACATTTCAATCAGTAATAAGAAGTAAATATCTGATAAGAACGTTTCACCATGTGATTAGAATAGGAGTAGAACCTTTGAAGTTTCATAAACATTTCAATTTGTTACATCTTTTTTTTTCATCATTCAATCCCTTTTTCACTAAGATATTATTGTACAATTTTGGTAAATGGTACAATCTGTGCACGTACAACAATCAAACAAATGACAGATATGTTGTTCTGGGGTGAAGAGTTTGATTTAAGGTGAGTTAAATAGTTATTGTTTTCAATTTAAAAGAAATTTTACTAAAGTTTTTCTAGTTTTCACTGGTTGAAATCATGAGTCAATTGAAGCTAGACCACCATGGAAAACATGGAACTACTAGACGGCCGTTTCATCTTAGTATGGGACTCCTCAGGAGTGCGCATCTACGATCCCACCCCCCGCGAGCGCTTAACCATTAGACCACTGAGCCGGTATCTAACGATCTTAATGTCTTACTTCAACCAATCTAGTTTTGAAATTTTTATTTTAAATGTATTCATTAAACCAGAATGATTAGAGCTATTAGACCTACTGAGATTTAATGCATTATTCTCAATCATTGTTATGTGTTACTCTTAATGGATAAAGTAATCTTATATTTGTCGGAATAGTTTGACTAGTCTGACGTTGGTCTAGTGTATCAGTTAGTCAATTATCAAAATTTACGTATTATACGACAAAACAAAATATTTTAAATCTCTGATGATTGTCAGATTTCGTAGCCCTTCTAGAACGAGTAACTTTCAGGTGCTACGTAAATTTCTGTCAAAAGGAGTAGGTGTTTGAGAACTGTCACATTGTTAGCCCCCAAATGCCCTGGTACAGCCGAGAGTGGGGAGAGTCCCCTCTCCCTCTCCAAATGCTCTCACATGGCCACGCATATATAGCCTCTGCCAGGGAAGTCCTACTCACTGCCTTCTCGCACCACGGGTGTTGTTTACAAAAATGAGAGGACGAAAACCGAATGTCCGGCGCTTTAACCGAATCCCAAACCAATGGTGCACATGGGTTGGCTCCAGTATCCTGAAGGAACAAATGGCGTATGAGTCAGTCGTTGGTCACCGGCTTCCATGGGACTGCATCTCCTTACGATGCTCCACTGCCTTGTGGGTCAGACCTTTAGGTCAAAAGCTCCGGATGTGGCCCCCAATGAAAACCACCTGCTTCGGTTTGTGCACCCGAGCAGTATCACAGCTCTCACACATATCCAATGAGATCTGTCTGGCGCATATATATTTGGTGCGCTCTTGTACTAGTATCTATGTGTTAAAATAAATAAATAAATAAAGATAAAATATGTAACCAAAAGGCATGCATTAAATTTGATCCGTTGAATGAATTATAAAGATTGTCGTTATTATATAACTTCCGAATAGTCATTTTTATAACCTTGTTGATTTTTATTTGATATTGAAAAATGTTTTTAGCGGTCTCACAAATTGCTCAGATCTAACAATTGAGATATGGAAAGTATGTGATACGAAAGCTAGTTCTCCATCTCATCGTCATCGAACTGCTTCTCCATATCGATTAACAACATCGAATCTTCGTCAACAGACAAATACAAGTCCTCCAATGCGTAAGGTAATGATGACTTGTACAAAAGCTGCAGATGATGGACAAGTTTCACCACCTGACTTTACAGCTTTGCGTAATTCTGTCATTTTGGATGATTTATCAACTACATGTACCAATAATGATGAAGTGTCTTCAAGACAAAAACGTCGTAAATTCAAGTCATCAAAAATGGCTAATCCAACTCTTATAGGTTAGTTTCCTAGTTATTAGTCTTCACTTATTCCTACTGTGGATTATTTCAAATTTCATTAACGAACTGCTTATCCCTTGTGATTTGATGTGGTATTGTTTAAGAGAGGAATAAATTTATAAACCTCTAATCAGTATAGTTATTGACAAATACCATACAGACTGATTATTTATATATTTGAACACATAAAAATTGGTACCCGAGGGCACCAAATATATATACGCCACACAAAACAATGAGAATCTAAAGAGAAGGGAAAAGAAAGGTAAGGAGCGTAGGGAATAAAAAAAACAAGAGAACAATAACGACCAGAGTAGTGTAAGATAGTGTAATAGTAGTAATAATGGGGGAAACGAAATGGTTCAACCAGAAGAAATCTTACAGTAAAGGAAGATACAACCGCTTTTTACGAAGAAAGTAAAAGGTTACATCAGGATCGCCACTGGCTTCTATTCTGAGCCATATCTGATAACGTCTCTATAACCACTATGTTACACCATCTCTCAGACTCCAGCCATGGAGTCGTGATGGACCAACACAAGCCAGCCCTTTGCAGCTTTCTTTCATACCACGACACCATGACATATACTGACCACGTCTCCGCTTTTTCCAACCAGTCCCAGAGTCGGCAAATAATGCACGACATGGAATTCTCTGAGACGACATTCGTAGAACATGTCCAAGTCACCGAAGACTGATGATAGAATCTGTTTGTGATCACACATTTAAGCTTAGAAATGACTAAATAACTGTTAAAATGATGCTTTAGTTAAAGTTTCTAAGTTTTAAAACAGCACATGGTGATAAAATTGATAGATCATTTAGGATATGTACCAGTCTATGTTAACATCTCTCACATCGGGTCATTGATCAAACCTAGTGAGTGAGTGAGTAAAATCAATCTAATCAATATAATGGAAAGAACGAGGATAAATGCAAATTAAGACTAAAGCATATAGAATCACAAGATGTTTGATATTTAAAGGAAGAAATAAGCAATGAATGGATCTTGACACTTTCGACTAATTATGTTAAACTATTGTTTGAAATCTTTATCTGTTGATTTGAGTTATCTGGTAGACTATAAATATTCTTGATCATTTTCTAATCTACCCTTTATCATTTAGCACAGAATGTTTTGGTAAGTAAAACCATTATTCTAGGTTCAAGTATTTACACCAATATTATTAATCCTTCAAGGGTTTCACTATACACCAGCAATGTTATAAAGATATCACTGAAGTTGTTTTAGTTGTGAAAAGTCAAAGTATTTTTTTAGTCTTTATCGAAGTACCGTTGACTACTAATCTCATTAGGATTAATGTGACATACTTAGCAACTCTACACTTCTCTGTCCCGACCGTTGTTGCTGCCTTGACGTGGTGGTCGGGCGAGCTTGCCTATTGTGATGAAGCGACTGAGCTATACTGGCTGGAACAACCGTTCCTCAAGGTCCTACCATGTCAGACAGGTCGGTTGAGTAGCGGTATGACCAAAAGCAACAAATCCAATGTCCGAAGGCGAAGTCGTACTGTTGACTGTATAGAGGTGTAACAGCAGTAAGGTGTTTCCTTCAAACAACCAGCTTAACAGCGATGCTGCCTTCCCACAAGGAGTGTTGCAGTGGGGTTAGAAAAGGTCGACCATAAAAATGCATACATCGCCTTATCCCACGGATATCCGTCTCCGGTGGTAAGATGTCAACAAGTAGGGAGTTAACACAAAAACTACTCACAAAAAGGTCGTGTTTGACTGACCTCAAGCAGTTGTCCCTTGGGCACTGCGGTCACGCTCTCAGGTCACTAAGACCACCTCTAATCTAATTTCCTTTTCAGGTACATCCAGAAGAACCCTTCTGGGGTGTGGGCGACAGGGCAGTGATAATCGCCCTCATACCTCTAACAGCACCCAAGACCACTGTATTCATAATCAACCTCCCTCTTCCCTGTCACATATTTCTTATGATCATCGTATGTAATGAAAATCCATGTGCAATTTTTAATTAATTTCAAAATAAACACCGCATATATTAAGTGTTAAGTCGGCTTTCCGAGAACTGCAACAGAGCCTCCGGAGGCCCTGAAGGAGCCCAAGAGTCTTAGCCAATCAGAGCACGATGGAGCTTTCTAGAATGCCAATGTGGCGTGCTACTATTGGTCAGTAGCATAATATGTCTTTTAGCGGATTGGCCAAGATATGATGTTGATTTAACAAATGTTAACATCTATAAATACCCGTGTTTTTCTGTACAAAAACGAACCTTGAAGTAAAGTACTTCTCGCATACCTTGCGCCTTCTCTCTCGTGTTCAGGTCGCTGTATAGTTCTAGCTTGGGGGTCTTCAAGAATAGCTTAGGAATCGAGTATAGCGTTCAAAATCTCAAGACTTATCAGTGGCGACGGGGATGACTACAATGAATATTTCTTTGGAGCAGCTAGAAGCTTATATGGTGCGTCAAGAAAAGAGGTTTGAACAATCGCAAATCAGAATAATGGAAGCTTTGATGCAGAAATTGTGCCTGTCCCAACAAAACCCTGCTTCTAATGAATCACAAATATCTCATACTGATTCAATCATAAATGCCATACATGAATTTAATTTTGATGGTTTAAGAAGAATGAAGATTTATTCTATATTGATCTCTGCAAACTTGATGACGCTTCAAAAGTCAGAATACTTTTAAGAAAACTTGGGACTATGGAACATGAACGCTATAGCAACTTCATTCTTCCGAAGAATCCACGAGACTTTAGTTTTGATGAAACAGTTAAAACCCTGTCTCAAATCTTTGGAGAACAATCATCTCTATTTAATATCCGTTATAAATGCTTGAAGATAACGAAAGAACCAGGAGATGACTGGGTGAAACATGCAGGAATGGTGAACCGAGAATGTGAGAGGTTCAAATTGTCTTCTATGACTGAAGACCAGTTTAAATGTCTAGTGTTTGTCTGTAGCCTGCATTCACCCGAGGATGCTGACATCCGAACAAGGATCCTAAGCAAAATCGAACATTGTCCTAACATGACCCTGCAAGAAGTAGCGACCGAATGTCAAAGGTTAGTGAATTTAAAGCATGATACCTCGATGGTGGAGAACGGTGACCGGTTCCTTCATGTTCATGCAGTCGAGAGAAAGACCTCAAAAGGTTCCAGCACGCAGAATGATCATAATCACAGCGAAAAACCCTCATCCCCATGCTGGTTATGTGGCGGTTGGCACTTCAAAAGGTTTTGTCCGTTTAAAAATCATCGTTGCACTATTTGTTCCAGAAAAGGGCACAAAGAAAGTCATTGCAAAACCCGAAAACGCCGTCAACAGAAAGTGCATTCTAAAAGATTCAAGCCACAAACAGCTAAAGTAACAGTAGCTCTTCACCAAGCCGGCTCCCATCACCGTAGAAAGTATATTTCTCTCAAGATTAATGGGTGTGATGCTCGCTTACAACTAGACACAGCCTCCGATATAACACTTATAAGCAGGAGAACGTGGGAGAAAATTGGGAGACCGAGAATTTATCCAACTCGTCAATCAGCACATAGTGCGTCTGGGGGAATTCTATACATTGCTGGTGAAATTCGTTGTGAATTCACGGTCAAAAATTTTACGGAGAAGGGCGTAATATTTCTGACAGACCGTCCATCACTCGACTTATTGGGGCTTGATTGGATAGAAAGGTTGAAGTTAACAGACCGCCCCATAGACTCGATCTGCAACAACGTCAGTACGTCGAAATTTGAGAAGGACACATTCAAAAGAGCACTACTGAAAGGGGAAGGAGAGGGGACAAGTCAGCCTAACCCTATTGTCCCAGAAGGAAAATCCCCTGCTGAAGCGATGTTCGGGAGAAGCATCCGAACTACATTCGACGTCACGTTACCACCTAAACAAATGGATGGACGCAAACAAAATCAGAATATCCGCAGTTTTAATGTCAGTGATAAAGTGCTCGTCAAATCATACACTGGGAAAAATCGTTGGGAACCGGGAGTCATTGAGAAGAGAATGGGGAATGTTTTATACAAAGTGCGTGGGACTCTCGGTATAGGTATTAAACACATTAGTCAAATACGCAGAGAGAAAAGGACTGTAGACATGGTTGATAGTCAAGTGAGGCTTCCGCTAGATATAATTACAGATACTCCAGTGACAGGGACCCCAAAAGACAATCATAGACGCGGGATACCAAGAAAGTCCGAAAATAGCAGAAAACCAGTTATCAAGCTGCAAGTAGACCCGAAGGAGAGGTCTTATTTTTTTGTAAGGGGGGAGGTGTTAAGTCGGCTTTCCGAGAACTGCAACAGAGCCTCCGGAGGCCCTGAAGGAGCCCAAGAGTCTTAGCCAATCAGAGCACGATGGAGCTTTCTAGAATGCCAACGTGGCGTGCTACTATTGGTCAGTAGCATAATATGTCTTTTAGCGGATTGGCCAAGATATGATGTTGATTTAACAAATGTTAACATCTATAAATACCCGTGTTTTTCTGTACAAAAACGAACCTTGAAGTAAAGTACTTCTCGCATACCTTGCGCCTTCTCTCTCGTGTTCAGGTCGCTGTATAGTTCTAGCTTGGGGGTCTTCAAGAATAGCTTAGGAATCGAGTATAGCGTTCAAAATCTCAAGACTTATCATTAAGTGCAAATGGTCTGTAGAGATTTATGTAGGTTTAAAATGTTAAGAAACATTAGATGGTGAAGATTTGGTCACAGTTGCTTCACATGTATTGACTATAGCTGAATAATATGTTTCTTGCCTTCAAATGCCCTGGTATGGCCCAGAGTGAGGAGAGTCCAGTCTCCCTATCGAAATGCTCTCACATGGACACGCGAATTGAGCCTCTGCCAAGAAAGTCCTACTCACTGACTTCTGGTGACATTACTGTTGTTTACGAAAATGAGAGGACGAAAAGCGAATGTCCGGCTCTTTAACCGGATCCCAAACCAATGATGCACATGGGCTGGCTCCAGTATCCTGCCTGAAGGAACAAATGGCGTATGAACCAATCGTTGGTCACCGTCTTCCATGGGACTGCATCTCCTTACGATACTCCACTGTCTTGTGTATCAGACCTTTATGTTGAAGGCTGAGGGTGTGACCCCCTAAGAAAACCACCTACTTCGATTCGGGCACTCGGACAGTATAACAGTCCTTACACAAATCCAATGAGATCTATGTGGTGCATATGCTGACCGTTGTTGCTACCTTGACGTGGTGGTCGGGCTTGCCTATCGTGATGAAGCAACTGAGCTATACTGGCTGGAACAACCGTTCCTCAAGGTCCTACCATGCCAGACCGGTCGGTTGAAGAGCGGTAAGACTAAAAGCAACAAAACCAAGGTCCGAAGGCGAAGTCGTACTGCTGACTGTACAGAGGTGTGACAGCAGTAAGGTGTTTCCTTCAGACAACCAGCATGACAGCGATGCTGCCTTCCCACAAGGAGTGTTGCAGAGGGGGTTAGAAAAGGTCGACCCTAAAAATGCACACCTCACTTTATCCCACTGATATCCCTCTCCGGCAGTAAAGTGTCAACAAGTACGGAGCTAACACAAAAATTACTCATAAAAAGGTCGTATGTGACCGACCTCAAGCAGTTGTACCTTGGGCACTGCGGTCACGCTCTCAGGTCACTACGACCAACTCTAATCCAATTTCCTTTTCAGGTACCTCCAGAAGAACCCTTCCACGGTGTGGGCAACCGGGAAGTGATAACCGCCCTCATACCTCTAACAGCACTCAAGACCACTGTATTCATAGTCAACCTCCCTCTTCAATTCCTATGTATATTTTATTATTTATTTTATTTTAACACATAAGTATAGGTACAGGGAGGCACCAAATACATATGCGCCACACAAATCTCGATTGATTTGTGTGAGGGCTGTGATACTGCTCGGGTGCCCAAACCGAAGCAGGTGGTTTTCTTAGGGGGCCACACCCCGAGCCTTTGACCTGAACGTCTGATCCACAAGGCAGTGGAGCATCGTAAGGAGATGCAGTCCCATGGTAGCCGGTGACCAACGATTGGTTCATACGCCATTTGTTCCTTTAGGATAGTGGAGCCAGCCCATGTGCACCATTGGTTTGGGGTCCGGTTAAAGCGCCAGACATTCGCTTTTCGTCCTCTCATTTTTGTAAACAACACCCGTGGTGCGAGAAGGCAGTGAGTAGGACTTCCCTGGCAGAGGCTATATACGCAGGCCATGTGAGAGCATTTGGAGAGGGAGAGGGGACTCTCCCCACTCTCGGCCGTACCAGGGCATTTGGGGGCTCAATTCCTATGTGGTGCATATGTATTTAGTGCCTCTTTGTACCAATATCTATGTGTTCAAGTAAATAAATAAATAATTATAGTTTCATAAATAGTATAAATATAGTTGTTTTTTTTTTATTTTTCTTTCTTTCTATATTATCACTTTAGCAACAGTCCATATCTCTTTATCGGATATATCTAATTGTGGTGAAGTGGAAAATTGGTATCCTTCACATATCAATAATTCAATTTTATCATCTAATCAATTTAAACAATTCGATCATAAAATTTCTAATGAATCTAACCATATAAATAAAATTAAATCGAAAGGACGACGTTCGAATCATCATGAGATTCATTTCAATTTAATACAAATTCGTGTAAAAATTCGTTATCGTACTTTAACTGTACTACCATTAACAAGTTATACTCGTTTAGAATATAATTTATGCCAATTTCAATTACCTAAATTCATATCATTTTCAAATGATATTAATAAATTTGATCTGATTCAATTATTATCTAGTTTAGATCCATGGTTAAATGTAAAAGCTAAAGCTGAATTAGCCGGGGCTATAGTTGTTTTACAACAAGCTCATGGACAAGTAATTGAATTTTTAGCTAGTCTTATTTTATATGAAGTTCAAAAACAAAGTAGGTTGATCTCTAGGTTGTTGTTGTTTGTTTTTTTTTTAGTTTGGTTTTGTGACAGTATCTTGGGTTTTTTTTTAATGTAATTCATTAAGTAGATATTTTTGTTAATTCTATAGAGACCGTGGTACAGCCGAGAGTGAGGAGTGTCCGCTCTCCCTCTCGAAATGGTCTCATATGATCATGCGTATATAGCCTCTGCTAGGCAATTCCTACTCACTGCATTCTCGCACCAAGGGTGTTGTTTACAAAAATGAGAGGACGAAAAGCGAATGTCTGGCGCTTTAACCGGATCCCAAACCAATGGTGCACATGGGCTCCAGTATCCTGAAGGAACAAATGGCGTATGAACCAATCGTTTGTCACCGGCTACCATGGGACTGCATCTCCTTACGATGCTCCACTGCCTTGTGGATCAGACGTTCAGGTCAAAGGCTCGGAGTGTGACCTCCTAAGAAAACCACCTGCTTCGGTTTGGGCACCCGGGCAGTATCACAGCCCTCACACAAATCAATTGAGATTTATGTGGCGCATATGTATTTGGTGCCTCCCTGTACCTATACTTATGTGTTAAAATAAATAAATACTAAATAGAGACTATTGGTCTAAAAGTTCAACCAAATTATATGTAACTGATTTACTTAACTTCTTGATTCATTGTATTAGTTTACTAAGAACTTCCACTTCCTTTTCGATTTTCTAGTGAAATATATTTTATTCCCGACTATTGTTATATACTACTTATGTCGATATAGGTAGCTCATAACATACTATTATTAACGGCTGTCCACTCTATCAATTCTTGTTTAACTTTGTCGTTGACATCCTTTTAGAGATGACACTTTCCTCATCTAAATTTCCAGGAGTTGAACTTCTACCGGGAGATCCACTTGTTGCCGATGACATGGTTCTATTTGGTGAAGACGCTGACAAAATGTAGAATCTGTTGACCACTCTAAGCAACAATGCAAGCATGTTCGGCATGCGATTTTCTCCATCGAAATGCAAAATGTTGCTTCAGGATTAGGTTGCATCGACACCCGAACTAGTTAGAGGGAGTGAAGTAGTTGAGCGTGTCGACCGCTTCACTTATCTCAAAAGTCTCATCAACCCTTGTGGTCTGGTGTGTGACGAAATCTCAGCACGGATATAGAAGGCTCGACTAGCTTTTGCCAACTTGCGTCATTTGTGGTGTAGGCGGGATATCCGTCTATCAACCAAAGGACGTGTTTACTGCACAGCAGTTCGTTCCGTCCTACTTTATGGCAGTGAAACGTAGCTGGTAAGAGTAGAGGATATTCGTAGGTTACTGGTATTTGATCATAGGTGTCTTCGAAACATTGCTCATATATCCTGGGACCACCGAGCAAGTAATTCAGTTGTTAGGAAACAGGTACTAGGTAAGGATGGCAAATCAATTGATGAAGTAGTGAAACTTCATCAGTTGAGATGGCTGGGACATGTGTTGCGCATGCCCGACCACCGACTGTCCTGACGTGCTATGTTTTGTGGTGTAGGAGTAGGTTGGAAGAGAGCTAGAGGCGGCCTGATCAAAACGTGGCACAAATTCATCAAGTCACTGACAAGTGAACTGAATGAGCCATGTTGTTAGGCGTATAGTACCTGGTTGGGGTCCGCAAGATGATAGCAACCGATGGTTAGAGATCATGAATGACAATTGAAATGGTGCAGGTGCATTCACTCTCTGTGTTCTCTCAAACTTTAATCTTCTGTATTCTTCATGTCCTTTATCTTCTTTCCAAATCTATTCCACTGGATTATACTCCTTGAATAACATCTTCGAAGTGCTAATGTTCCCTATCACTACTTATAATTTCACTACCTCTACCACAGTGGGATTTGAATCGATAACTGAATCTCTGTGCTAATATGGTATGACAACTCGAACTGATGTACGTACGTACGAAGTTCTACGTTGTTACTGACTGACTGACTATTATTAATGTCACTTTTTCTAAGCTTATGTTTATATTTCACTGGTTGAAATCATGAGTCAATTGAAGCTAGACCATCATGGAAAACCTAGAAGCACTGGACGGCCGTTTCGTCCTAGTGTCGGACTCCTCCTCAACAATGCGCATCCACGATCCTACTCCTCGCGAGATTCGAACCCAAGACCTGTCAGTCTCGCGCCAGGCGCTTAACCAACTAGACCACTGAGCCGACCGGCATCGAATGGTGTTAATGTCTAACTCCAACCGATCCACGAAGTCGCACCACCGTACACCATTGCCTTCAGTGTTTATATTCACTGTTTATATTACTGGAATTTCTATGTTTAATTTTAAGTTGTGTAGTAGAGTTAGCTAGATGGTAAATAATTCGTTAAAAGAATACTACAATGACATAATACCAATTACGTTTACTTATACTTACAATCGGCATTTTAAATTTACAGAACTGTGTTTGTTTTTATCAGCTAATTTACTTAGAAATTTACCTAAAAATGACATATACACTCAGGAAGAGTTGATGGTCACTATTTCGTAGTATTTGCTACTATATATTTCTAAAATCTCTTTGACCTGAGATACTGCAGCTTATGTTTCTTTTGAGAGCCCGGCACTTACCCTTTGTATTTACCTATGTACATAACTATACAAGCCGAGACTCATTCAATTCGTATACATAAGCGTACACATCAGTCAACCCGTCACGATTTTAAGGCATCGAAGAGTGAACTCGGATTAAATGATTTCATATTATTTATAGTCTACATTTGTCGTAGATTGATCTCATTTGGGTATCATCGGGAATCCTCAGTAATGCTTCACCCGTGATCTTCTTTCTATGGATGGGATCTGAGACCTTCAGATCTCGTGTCTAGCGCTTAACTCACAGATCACTAAGTTAGGATCCATTGGTATAGATATCTAACATCAATCAGTTTTAGGATATAATGCGACACTTATCCTATACCATTGATGATGACTTTTTCACTACTAACTTCGATTCCACCAGTTACGACTTTTCACTAGAACTTCAAGAATACCTTGAAGTGACTAGCAGTAAGTTGAATATTATTGTTCTGTTAAAATCGTTACCTTTGGTTTATCAAAACATATAAAAAAGAAGAATTGTAGAAAACTTGTACTGTCATTAACGGCTAGTCAAATATCTGATCACAACATAGGATTACTACATGAATTCATCTAATCGATATATACTCATACTCTAGTTCCTCTATTAGTTATAACTCAGTTGTTCTAGTATCATCACTTTCTCATTACACTATTTTTTAGTGTATTATTGATTTTTATTTCAAATCTTATTATCTTTTCATTATCAAGGTGATCCAAATATGGTTTTACGTGCTAATAGTATAGCAACTAAAGCAACAGAAATTTATCTACGTCTTGTTGGTGGTTCATATTTATCAAATATTTTATCAGATTTTATACAAATTGTTATTAGTGGTCATCCTGTTGATCCACAATTAAAAACATCTAATCGTTATCCAATTGATTATGAAGTTGATATATCTAAAGTACAAACATCTACACAATTAGCACAAAATCAAGTGAATTTATTAAGTTTAGTTGAAACTGTATGGAAAAGAATTTTATTAAGTGATGTTGAATTTCCAGAGTAAATTTTCTTTTCTTTCAATTTTTAATGTATAATCTTGATATGTTTTATTGAATTCATTGTGTATATATATTTCAATGAGTGTATCAGTACATGATTGACTATTTTTAACCAGATCCCAAATCAATAGTGCACATGGGATGGCTCCAGTATCCTGAAGGAACAAATGGCGTATGAACCAAATATTGGTCATCGGTTACCATGGGACTGAATCGTCTTATGATGATCTAATACCTTGTGGATCAGATCTTCAGGTCGAACGAATGCTCGGGATGTGGCCCCTTATGTAAACTACCTGCTTCGGTTTGTGCACCCGACCAGTATCACAGCCCTCACACATATCAAATATGATCTGTGTGGCGCATATGTATTTGGTGCCTCCTTGTACCGATATCTACGTGTTAAAATAAATAAATAAATGACTATTTTAAGCCTATATATATATACTGTTCCTTCTTTTGGGATTCATCTAATTGTTTATAATAAGTGTATTTTGCATAGTATGATATTTATTTATTTATTTGAACACATAAATATTGGTACAAGATGGCACCAAATACATATGCGCCACACAAATCTTATTTGATATGTCTTAGGGCTGTGAAACTGCCTGGGTGCTCAAATCGAAGCAGGTAGTTTACATAGGGGATCACACCCCGAGCCTTCGTTCAACCTGTAGATCTGATCCACAAGGTATTGGAGCATAATAAGGATATTAACTCCCATGGTAGCCGGTGACCAACGACTGATTCACCCGCCATTTGTTCCTTCAGGATACTGGGGTCCATGTGAACCATTGGTTTTGGATCCGGTTAAAGTACCGGACATTCGCTTTTCGTCCTCTCAGTTTCGTAAACAACAGTAATGCCACGAGAAGGCATTGAGTAGGACTTCTGTTGGCAGGGGCTATATACTCGTGGCCATGTGAGAGCATTTCGAGAGGGAGAGTGCACTCTCCCCACTCTCGGCCATACCAAGGCATTTGGTGGCCACGTAGTATGGATTTGTCTGGGAGTTGGATCCGGTGTATAATAAATATCATTATCGAGGTGTTTATCATATAGACTAATTTTTAACATATGTTAATCATTTCAGTTGAGGCAAGCCAAATAATGATATCATGATTATCAGTAGGTTGACAGTTCAGCCATTGAACGACGTTTTTCAGTTATTAATTAGTGAATTAAAGCACTCGTCTTCATTAGAGAGCTATCAGTTCAGAAAAACACCCTGAACTTCAGAAGATTTATAGTCATGTAACAAAATATCTGTTCGATCAAATAAAGCTACTAGTGGACGTACTTTTACTGAATCAGTCGTTCGGTCAGCTAAATCGTAGGACCATGCTCATATATGCATCGGTCCAAGTTACCACACCTCATTACCGCCACAAGATGAATACCGGATTCATAGAAGTAGTTAATTCAATGGTGGTAATATATAAAAGAAAGATTGCATATAAGGATATAGTACAGGAAGAAAGAATTAGTTCGTAGCAAGAAAGGCTTGAAGCGATTTTAATCTCTTAGTTTAAAGGAAGACAGAGAGTGTATACACCGATGTCATTGTGATCGATTCTGAACCATGTTATCAAGAATCTCCAACCATTGGTTACGATATTCACACGGCCCCCTACTATGTAGTCTGCATCTACCAACATGGCTAAGACTAGAAGTTTGTGACTTCAAGCACTGATGTCACGTTTTGGTTTGGCCTGCCGTAAATTTTTTACTGAATGCCAAAAAGTAACTGGCCAATTAGTAAAACCATATGTATTGGAATACCACTGAGTCTGAAAAAAATTGTGACTAAGGTTCAAACTTTACTATTTAATTTTCTCTAGCCAATTAATATATCTAATCTTTGCATAAAATATGCTGCTTGAATCCGAATATATCAACCTATTCTTTATAAATATTGGATTTATCCTAGGTCAGTTTATAAACTACATTAAATGCTCTTACTCCCTCAAACTTAAAACTAACGGTATATCTATACATCAATGGAATTAGATTATTTCATCAATCTATTGTGTTTTAATTCATTTACTAAGATAGTTTAATATTTATCTGATAGCTAGGGTATACACCGACTGATGTTGCTACCTTGACGTGGTGGTCGGGCGGGCTTGCCTAACGTGATGAAGCAACTGAGCTATACTGGCTGGAACAACCGTTCCTCAAGGTCCTACCATGTCAGACAGGTCGGTTGAGGAGCGGTATGGACAAGAAGAAACAAATCCAATGTCCAAAGGCGAAGTCGTACTGTTGACTGTACAGAGGTATAATTGCAGTAAGGTGTTTCCTTCAAACAACCAGCATGAAAGCGATGCTGCCTTCCCACAAGGAGTGTTGCAGAGGGGGTTAGAAAAGGTCGACTCTAAAAATGCACACCTCGCCTTATCCCACGGATATCCGTCAATGGCGATAAGGTGTCAACAAGTAGGGAGTTAACACAAAAGTTACTCATAAAAAGGTCGTACGTGACCGACCACAAGCAGTTGTCCCTTGGGCACTGGGGTCACGCTCTCAGATCACTATGACCACCTCTAATCTAATTTCCTTTTCAGGTACCTCCAGCAGAACCCTTCCACGGTGTGAGCAACCGGGAAGTGATAACCGCTCTCATACTTCTAACAACACTCTGTATTATTCCATAGATAAGATATTGTTTATCATGTTTAACATTTCTTTCCTTGGTTTTTCTTTTTTTTTTGTTGTTGTTGTTTCTATAGGCAATTTAGAGCATTATTTGTAGAGATTAGACGTTATTTAGAAAATGATTTAAAAAGTAATTATTCTTCAATGAATAATCTATCGAATAAACAATATGATGGAATAAATTCAAATTCTTCTTATTCTACAATTAATGGTGGTACATTATGTGAACATGTTATATCAGCATGTTTATTTTTACGTTATATTTGTCCAGCTATATTATCACCATCATTATTTAATTTAATTTATGAATTCCCTAGTGAACCACGTATATTACGTGCATTCACTTTGGTAAGTGATCATTTTCTTTCATTTAGTCAATATATCATGATTGGATAGACATTTGTTTTGTAAATATGACTAAACTTCAAACTTAAACTAGGAACGATTATATAAGTTGATAGATGTTTTATAGATTGGTTGAGGTTAGATATTAACACTGTTGGATTCTGGCCAACTCAATGGTTTAGAGGTGAAATGTACGCGTGCGAGACTGAAGGCTGTGGGTTCGAATCTCAATCACAGGATCATGGATGAGCACTGTTGAGGAGTCCTACAACAGGACGAAACGGTCGTCCAGTGCTTTCAAGTTTTTAATGGTGGTCTAATATGATCTCAAAAACTCAATAATGCAAAATGTTGCTTCAGGATTGGGTTGCATTGACACCCGAACTAGTTAAAGGGAGTGAAGTAGTTGAACATGTCGACCGCTTCAGTTATCTGGGAAATCTCATCAGCCCTTGTGGTCTGGTGTGTGACGAAATCTCAGCACGGATATAGAAGGCTCGACTAGCTTTTGCCAACTTGCATCATTTATGGAGTAGGTGAGATATTCGTCTATCAACCAAAGGACGTGTTTACTGTGCAGCAGTTCGTTCCGTCCTACTTTATGGCAGTGAAACGTAGCTGGTAAGAGTAGAGAATATTCGTAGGTTACTAGTATTTGATCATAGGTGTCTTCGAAATATTGCTCGTATATCCTGGGACCACTGAGTAAGTAATGCAGTTATTGGGAAACGGGTACTAAGTAATGATGACAAATCAATTGATGAAGTAGTAAAACTCAATCAGTTGAGATGACTGGGACATGTGTTTCGCATGCCCGACCACCGACTGTCCTGACGTGCTATTTTTTGTGGTGTAGGAGTAGGTTGGAAGAAATCTAGGGGCGGCTAGACCAAAACATGACACAAATCCATGAAGTCACTGACAAGTGGACTGAGTCATGTTGGTAGGTGTAGACCGCGAGACGACAGCAACCGATGGTTATAGACCTTGAATGACATGGTTCAAAATGGTTTGTAATGGCACAGGTGCATCCACACTTTGTGTTCTTTCAAACTCTAATCTTCTGTATTCTTCATGTCCTTTATTTTCTTTCCAAATCTATTCCACTGGATTATACTCCTTAAATAACATCTTCAAACCCTAATGTTCCCTATCACTACTTATACTTTTACTACCTCTACCACAGTGGGATTTGAATCGATAACTGAATCTCTGTGCTAATGTGGTATGGCAACTCGAACTGATGTACATACGTACGAAGTTCTACGTTCTTACTGACTGACGGACTGACAAAAATCTCCCGAACCCTATACTGAAAGTTGGATATATCAACTAATGAAGTTATCTGAGTAGATTTGTAGCCAGTATGGCTTCAACACGAGTATAAGTAGATCATTTGGATTTTAGAAACTTATATCACCTTCTTCATTTTTAAAACAATTAACCCCACATTAATTGATGGATATGAAAATCTTTTTATTGGAACTTGAGGATATGACTAAGTTGTAAGTGTTTGATCAATATATTGGCAGAATAACAAAGTAAAGAATGCTGATGTTATGTGTAAGGTACTAGATAGTAACCCTAAATCGTTTACGACGTTTGTAAACACTCACCGACTAACATATGTTACTTATCACCTAATACCACAGACTATTTCAACATACCATATTAACTACAAAAGAGAATAGATTGGAAAAAACATTGGGGATAGCTAGACCGAGACATGACATCAGTCGATGTAATTGTTAAGCTATTGTAGTTTAAATCACAAACTGATGTTAGTTAGACTAATGTTGTTTTAATAATCTCCACAAACCTATGAAATTCTTAGCCATCTATCTTGATAATTTCCTTCTATGATATGCTAGTGTAAAAAGTGCGACAACTTGAACCGAAATATATTTTTTTCCAGGTTCTTGCTTGCTTATGACACGATCCACTGTGATGCTATTTATTATTTATTTATTTGAACACATAAATATTGGTACAAGAGGACATCAAATACATATGCGCCACACAAATTTTCACTTTATTTGTGTGTGCGCTGTGATACTGCTCGGGTGCCCAAACCGAAGTAGGTGGTCACACCCGGAGCCTTTGACACAATGATCTGACCCACAAGGCGGTGGAGCATCGTGAGGAGATGCAGTACCATGGTAGCCGGTGACAAACGATTGGTTCATACGTCATTTGTTCCCTCAGGCAGGATACTGGAGCCAGCCCATGTTCACCATTGATTTGGGATCCGGTTAAAGCCGGTGCCTGACATTCGCTTTTCGTCCTCTCATTTTCGTAAACAACACCCTCAGTACGAGAAGGCAGTGATTAGGACTTATGTTGGCAGAGGCTATATACTCGTGGCCATGTGAGAGCATTTCGAGAGGGAGGGCGAACCCACCCCACCCTTGGCCATACCAGGGCATTTGGGGGCTCTCTGTGATGTAGTTGGTTTTGATTTGAGTAAAATATTTCTTTAATCACATAGGTTTAAATGGCTAATTATCATGATAAACAATTTATTTTTATTTGACGAATATTCATGCATGTAGAATTAAACTGATAACAATGTTAGGAAGAACTAATTTTGTATAGTAAGCTTAACCGTAAATATCAAGTGGTGTAATTTTTTAGGCATTTTATTTAAAAGCCTTGAATTTATATGATATTTATTTATTATTTATTTTAACACGTAAATATCGGTACAAGAAGGCACCAAATACATATGCACCACACAGATCTCATTTGATATGTGTGACGGCTGTGATACTGCCCGGGTGCCCAAACCGAACCATGTGGTTTTCTTAGGGGGCCACACTCCGAGCCTTTGACCTGAAGATCTGATCCACAAGGCAGTGGAGCATCGTGAGGAGATGCAGTCCCATGGTAGCCGGTGACAAACGATTGGTTCATACGTCATTTGTTCCCTCAGGCAGGATACTGGAGCCAACCCATGTGCACCATAGAATTGGGATCCGGTTATAGCGCCGGACATTCGCTTTTCGTCCTCTCATTTTTGTAAACAACACCCCCGCCACGAAAAGGCAGTGAGTAGGACTTCCCTGGCAGGGGCTGTATACGTGTGGCCATATGAGAGCATTTCGAGAGGGGGAGCGGACTCCCCCCACTCTCGGCCGTGGGGGGAAGTTTCGTTCACTGATCTAGGCGGTTTATTCATGAACAACATTAGCACAAATTTCAGGTAAAATTGAATTATTCAAATTCTTCTATATACGACTAATAGATTATTCTGTTGACCTTTAACCTGTCATTAATTACCTGTATATTTTGATTACCTCTCCTGTTGACCTAATTCTTGATTCTGAATTTATTCCATAATTTTTCGAATTTGCTTGATAAATTGAGTTCATTTCGATGAGTATTGATTTCTAACTGACTTGAGAGCTAAGCTTCTAGACATTACCTGGTCTTTGTACAAAGACAGGTTAAAGGTCAACTTCTATACTAATGTATTTATTTGTATTAAGAAAACTATTTGTAAGCAGGATACCTCTAAGGACAAGACCTGTTTAGTTTTATGGGACCTGGAAAAATGCAAAAATGCAACAGACGTGGACATAACGAAGCTCATTGTCCACCAAATCGTACGTCTCAGCTCAAGAAGAAGCATAAACGTCCTTGACATGTGGTGAAATCAGTCGAGTCTAAATCTTTTTCTGGTAGCAGCCTTTCAAATAGACTATAACATTCGTAGAAAGTATGTTGCTATCCAGATAAACGGTATATTAGCTCGTCTTCAAACTGACAGCGCATCAGATATCTCCTTAGTGACTAGAGAAACGTATAACTTGCAGTGGAAACCATCTAAGAAAACGCCTAAAAACGCACCAGATGGTATGCTAAAAGTGACTGGTGAATTACAGTGTGAATTTTCCGTCAATGGAACTAACTGTACAGGAATATGTTATCTAACAGAACGGCCAGACTTTGATCTTCTTGGTCTAGATATGCTAGAAAAACTTGGAATAATGGATGCACCCATTAACAGCGTCTGCAACGTGTCGTGTTCATCATTGGACACCCAAGTACTTGCAAAGAAAACAGGTGAAAAGTTACTAGAAAAACTGAAGAGAAAGTTTTTCCTCTGTTTTTCAGAATAGCCTTGGCAATTGTACCAAGATGGAAGCTCACTTACCAGTGAAACCATATATCAAACCTATTTTTCGTCCGTGAAGTCCTGTACCATATGCTGCTCCTGAGCTAATCGATCAGGAACTTAATCGCTTGCAAAAAGCTGATGTAATTCAACCAGTCACCTACTCTGCATGGGCCGCACCGATCGTAGTGATTAAGAAGGCCAATGGAACTATATGCTGATTTCTCAATCGATTTAAATGCTGCATTGAATGTATATCAGTATGCGTTACCAGTTCCTGAAGGCGTGTTTTCCAAGCTTAATGGTGGAACATGTTTTGCAAAAATAGACTTCTCCGATGCCTATCTGCAAGTGGAAGTAGATGAAGATAGTAGAGAGCTTCTGACCATTAACACTCATCGAGGGTTACTTCAATACACCCGTCTACCATTTGGCATCAAGACCGCACCTGCCATCTTTCAGCAAATAATGGATAAGATGTTAACAGGTGTACCTGGTACAGCAGCTTATCTAGATGATATCATAGTTACGGGTTCCACTGGCAGTGATCTTTTTGATCGACTTCATAAACTCCTTAACTGAGTGTTGAAGTATGGTTTTCAAGTACTAAGACAAGTGTATCTACTTCATGCGTTTAGTCAAATGTCTTTGTTTCATCGTAGATATTAACGTTCGCCGATGAAACGCTGCCAACGTCGAAGCGATTCAGAAGATGACTGCACCAACTGTTGTCACTTCACTAAGATCCTTCTTGGTTTAATCAGTCATTACAGCACATTCTTGCCTGAAATGTATCAAGTGAGGGGTCCACAGAATGAATCACTATCAAAAGATAAACCTTTATAATGGTCAGCAGATTGTCAAACTTATTTTGACACACTTCGTTCCCAGTTTCGAAATTGTTCTTGCATCTGATGCCTCTATTCATGGAGTTAGAGCAGTGATATCTCACGTATTTCCGGACAAATCAGAAAAGACAATCGCCCGTGCTGCTAATTCTCTCACCCCGGCTGAGTGAAGCTTCAGTCAAATCGAAAAGGAAGCTCTTGCAATCGTTTTCGTTGTCGAAAAATTTCATAAAATGCACTATGGTCGTACGTTTTCTCTACTGACAGATCACAAACCTTTAATTGCAATGTTTTGTGTTAAGAAAACTATTTTTAAGCAGGATACTTCTATGGACAAGGCCTGTTTAGTTTCATAGGACTTGGAAAACTTTATTAATCCTTAATTTTCAGTTAATAAACATTTAGAAACAAAACTATATGACTGCCTAAATTTCATTGACTTTTAAAATGGTTTGTGCTGATGATGTCGTCTAGAAGAACGATCAAACCATCCAGCTCAGGAGACAAAACTCCATCAAAATTCGTTGACTTCTTAATAATGGTGTAACATTTAATTAACTCAGAAACCTTTTGTGCTACAATAATGTATAGTTCATCACTATATGACTTGAATTTCAGACTGTTAGATTTCAAGTACAGTTTCTCAATTCATTTTGTCATGAAAGAGAGGAAATTATATCCATTGGCTATGGAAGAGTAGAGTTGTGTTTCAGGGTTTATTTCATCTATAGCGTCTGTGTGTGTGTGCAGTTAATATACTTTTTAATTTACTTACTTACTTAATTACGCCTGTTACTTCTATTGGAGTAAAGGCCGCCGACCAGTATTCTTCAACCCACTATGTTCTCGGCATTCTTTTCTAGTTCCATCCATGTCATGTTCATTTTTCTTATGTCTATCTCCATTTCTTGGCGTAATGTGTTCTTTGATCTTCCTCTCCTTCTTCGACCCTGAGGATTCCATGTGAGGACTTGCCTTGTGATACAGTTGAGTACTGTCCTCAATGTGTGTTCTATCCATTTCCAGCGTTTCTTTCTGATTTCTTCCTCCACTGTGATCTGGTTTGTTCTCTCCCATAGTAGGTTGTTGCTAATAGTGTCCGTCAAACGGATCTGAAGTATTTTGAGTAGACAACTGTTAATAAACACCTGTATCTTCTGGATGATGACTTTCTTAGTTCTCCAGGTTTCGACCCCATACAGTAGAACTGTCTTCACATTTGTATTCAAAATTCTAATCTTGGTGTTGGTTGACAGACAGTTGTTTTGAGTTCCAGATATTCTTCAGTTGTAAATATGCTGCTCTTGCTTTGCCGATCCCCGCTTTCACATCTGCATCAAATCCACCATGTTCATCGACGATGCTGCCTAAATATGTTTTTTACATATGGTTTTTACATCTTCCAAATCTTCTCCGTCAATTGTGATTGCATTCGTGCATGCTGTGTTGTACTGGAGAATCTTGCTTTTCCCTTTGTGTATATTAAGACTTATTGCTGCTGCTGCCGCACTGGTCGTCTTCTCTTACATGTGGTGTTGCGTTAGCGATAGAAGAGCCAGATGATCTGCGAAGTCTAGATCATCCAATTGCATCCTAGCTGTCCCCCAAATGCCCTGGTACGGCCGAGAGTAGGGAGAGTCCGCTCACCCACGCGTATATAGCCTCTGCCAGGGAAGTCCTACTCACTACCTTCACGTGGCGGGGGTGTTGTTTACGAAAATGAGAGGACGAAAAGCGAATGTCCGGCGCTATAACCGGATCCCAAACCAATGGTGCACATGGGCTCCAGTATCCTGCCTGAGGGAACAAATGGCGTATGAACCAATCGTTGGCCACCGGCTACCATGGGACTGCATCTCCTCACGATGCTCCACTGCCTTGTGGATCAGATCTTCAGGTCAAAGGCTCGGATTGTGGCCCCCTAAGAAAACCACCTGGTTCGGTTTGGGCACCCGGGCAGTATCAAAGCCCTCACACTTATCAAATGAGATCTGTGTGGCGCATATGTTATTGGTGCCTCCTTGTACCAATATCTATGTGTTGAAATAAAATAAAATAAATAAAACTATATCCCGTGCTTCTACCCAGATGTTGACATCTTCATGATCCAATCGATCACTAGGAGAAAGAGAAAGGGTGACAGTAAACAACCTTGCCTGACACCAGTCTTTACTTCGAACGACTTTGTCAACTGTCCTCCATGAACAATTTTACAGTTTCATCCATCATGAGGAATTCCGTACGATATTGATGATCTTCTAAAACACACCACTTTCTAATACAATATATCTATTTTTATTTTATATTCTCTATTCTAATTCTATTATAGGTTGCTAAAACCATTCAAACATTAGCAAATTTCAGTTTATTTAGTGGTTCTAAAGAAACTTATATGAAATTTATGAATCAATTTGTAACTGATCAACTTCCATCAATGAGACAATTTCTACAATCCATTTCAATTCCAAATTCCAAATCAATTTCATCACATAAATCATTATTAATTAATGATACAATATTAAAACCGATCAATTCTTTATCAAATATTTATAATCAATATCATAGTAATTTAAATTCTATAAATAGTAATATGAATAATAGTTCTATGCCAAATTCTTTACATAGAATTGATTCTGATGAAAATTGTGTAAAATCGATTATGTCAAATAAAGTTAAAATAAAGAATGATTCTTCGAAAGAGAATCATCATTATAATATGAATAATAGTCAATCACATCATGATGGATTTATCAATAATATGGATAATTATAAAAAGGATCAAAATTATACTCAATATTCACCTATTGTTTTGACAAATTCAGAGATGACAAATAAATCAGTAAGTTGATCAAATGTAGTTTTGATTAAATTTATGTGTCAAAAGATTTGATGATCATTTGGAAGAGTATTATCTATATTATACTTATCAATTCATTTGCATTGTATTCACTCTCTTGTTCGCTCATAGTCACTTGAACATAACTGATCGAATGAGAGCTTATGGCATAATTGTCATCAGAACTGATTACTTCAAGTGGTGTTCATCAGGGCTGTTCACTCTCTTAATTCTTGTTTAACTTTGTTGTTGACGTGCTTTTAGAGATGACACTGTCCAGTGGTTGAACTTCAGCCGAAAGATTCACTTGTTGACTTACAGTATGCCGATGATATAGTTTTATTTAGTGAAGATGCTGACAAAATACAGAGTCTGCTGAACACTCTAATCAACAATGCAAACATGTTCGATATGCGATTTTCTACCTCGAAATGCAAGATGTTGCTTCAGGATTGGGTTGCATCGACACCCGAACTAGTGATAGAGAGTGAAGTAGTTGAGCGTGTCGACCGCTTCACTTATCTTGGAAGTCTCATCAACCCTTGTGGTGTGGTGTGTGACGAAATCTCAGTACGATACAGAAAGCTCGATTAGCTTTCGCCAACTTGCGTCATTTATGGCGTAGGCGAGATATTCGTCTATCAACCAAAGGACGTGTTTACTGTGCAGCAGTTCGTTTCGTCCTACTTTATGGCACTGAAACATGGCCAGTAAGAGTAGAGGATATTCGTAGGTTACTAGTATTCGAAACATTGCACGCATATCCTGGGACCACCGAGTATGTAATGCAGTGGTTAGGAAACGGGTACTAGGTAAGGATGGCAAATCAATTGATGAAGTAGTGAAATTTCATCAGTTCGGATGGCTGGGACATGTGTTACGTATGCCCAACCACCGACTTCCCCGATGTGCGATATTTTATGGTGTAGGAGTTGGTTGGAAGAAAGCTAGGGGCGGCCAGACCAAAACATAACACAAATCCATGAAGTCACTGAGAAGTGGAATGAGTGAGCCATGTTGTTAGGTGTATAGTACCTGGTTGGGGATCGCGAGACAGTATTAACCGATGGTTAGAGACCTTGAATGACATGGCTCAAAATCGTTTGCAATGGCACAGGTGCATCCACTCTTTGTGTTCTCCCAAATCCTAATCTTCTGAATTCTTCATTTTTTTCTCTTTTCCAATTTATTTAACTTGATTATACTCTTCCATTTTAATGTTCCCTATCACTACTTATACTTTCACTACCTCTACCACTATGGGATTTGAATCGATAACTGAATCTCTGTGCTAATGTGGTATGGCAACTCGAACTGATGTACGTACGTACGAAGTTCCACGTTTTTACTGACTGACTGACTCTCACATTTCTCGTATTTACTTTGTGTGCTTATTGCTTTGTGATGTGGACAGTTCAATAATAAATTGTAGCCAAAGTTTCGTATAGTCTTTTGAAATTTATACATCGTTGAGAGTTATCTAGTAACTGTCATCAGGTTGAGTGATATACGAAGCATTAGGAATTATCTTGATCATCATCCACTACAACATTTTGTTCCGCCCCCAAATGCCCTGGTACGGCCGAGAGTGAAAAGAGTCCGCTCACCTTCTCGAAATGCTCTCACATGGTCACGCGTATATAGCCTCTGCCAACAGAAGTCCTACTCAATGCCTTCTCGTGGCATTACTGTTGTTTACGAAAATCAGAGGACGAAAACGAATGTTCGGTGCTATAACCGGATCCAAAACCAATGGTGCATGTGGGCTCCAGTATCTTGAAGGAACAAATGACGTATGAACCAATCTTTGGTCACCGGCTACTATGGGACTGCATCTCCTTACGATGCTCCACTGCCTTGTGGATCAGACATTCAGGTCGAAAACTCGGAGTGTGGCCCCCTAAGTAAACCACCTGCTTCGGTCTGGGCACCCGGGCAGTATCACAGCCCCCACACAAATCAATTGAGATTTGTGTGGCGCATATGTATTTGGTACCTCTTTCTACCGATATCTATGTGTTAAAATAAATAAATAATAAATACATTTTGTTCCGGACATGGTATTGTTTTTTTCAGACAATCGTGATAACTGTTATGGAAGTCACTCGAGTAATTTATTCAAGTTAATAGTAACTAGTTATCATAAATAATCCACAGTTAACCTAAGATCTTACTTTTACTTACCACCAGCTCATAGTTATCTAACAGTTTAACTTATTCATATTATTGTATCTGATAGGCTAGGAAAGTTTAAGGCTATCATATTTCGGCACTCACATACTATCTCAATATTAAACCGTAGTTAAGAGACTATAAACAAGAAATGCTAATGGTGAAGGTCAATAGCGTTTCTGATCAAGGTTTCAGTCTACATTGCCTTGTCTGAGTCAGGAAGATAAAAGTGTTTACAACGATGATTTGTGTACCTACTCAATCTATTTTACTGATTATTTTTCAAGTCTCCTTACTGTTTAACAAGAGTATAGGTATTGTGTATATTTGAACTAAATCAGTAGTAACTCAAGCGCTAGCGTAGTAGGTCGGCTTCCGATCAGTATGTCCATCTATTACTGTTTCGGCAATCAGCTAGTAATATTATTCCTAACATAAACATTAAGTACCGTTAGCTACACTAGAGTAACGTAACTAAAGTCGACTAAAGTCAAAAGACTCCCCTGGCTTCTTAGCATATATATATATATATGGTCTGGTTTATAAAAACTGTATCAAGCAATAAGAAAGAAGTCAGTGAAATAAAAAAAGATCTACCATAAAACAAGTCAAACCGGTGTAATACCGTTGTAATAAACGAACCTCATGAGCGGATCGTATGTAATAAGTGTAAATCATCCCTAAACGAATTTCAACCTTAATTTATCATTTATGTGAACGCTACTGAGAATAAACTTGCAATATTCTAGGAGTGGTCTAGCACATATTTTATACATCAAAATATTTGACTCGTTATAGAGGTTACGAATTATGCAACTTAAATGATGAGATTCGGAGGCCCGTTTCGAGACCTGTTCTGTGAAGAATAAATTGTAGGAATACCTAAGTCCACTATTGTATGTAACTAGGATAACACCTTACCACTTATGGTAAAGTCTAACTTGAGTGAAGTATTACAGAAGCATATTCATCAACACTTAACCGTGTTAAGCTCCAACTGCCTGACCGTTGTTGCTACCTTGACGTGGTGGTCGGACGGGCTTGCCTATCGTGATGAAGCAACTGAGCTATACTGGCTGGAACAACCGTTCCTCAAGGTCCTACCATGCCAGACAGGTCGGTTGAACAGTGGTATGACTAAAAGCAACAAAACCAAGGTCCGAAGGCGAAGTCGTACTGCTGACTGTACAGAGGTGTGACAGCAGTAAGGTGTTTCCTTCAGACAATCAGCATGACAGCGATGCTGCCTTCCCACAAGGAGTGGTGCAGTAGGGTTAGAAAAGATCGACCCTAAAAATGCACACCTCGCCTTATCCCACGGATATCCGTCAATGGCGGTAAGATGTCAACAAGTAGAGAGTTAACACAAAAATTACTCATAAAAAGGTCGTGTGTGACCGACCTCAAGCAGCTGTCCCTTGGGCACTGCGGTCACGCTCTCAGGTCACTATGACCACCTTTAATCCAACTTCCTTTTCAGGTACCTCCGGAAGAACCCTTCCACGGTGTGGGCAACCGGGAAGTGATAACCGCCCTCATACCTCTAACAGCACTCAAGACCACTGTATTCATAGTCAACCTCCCTCTTCAATTCCTATTATTCCTCCTACATCGACTTTATACACTAAACTTCCTCTTTTAGCTTCCTCCTCAAGTGTCACCACAGCCAACGATTCTAGTGCTCAAAACACTGTCCCAGGTCTACTGAAACCTCGCTCCAAACTATACATTGGAGCCTTCAACGTACGCACACTATGCCAAATCGGTCAGCAGGCTTCCTTGGCTAAAACCTTAGAATCTCGTACCATTGTTGTATGCTGTGTCTCCGAAACACGCATACAGGATCCTAGTGTGGTCATTCACTTGACCTCACCTCGGCAAAACGGAGAGCCAACGAGATACACCCTCCGTGTATCTGGCGACCCGATGGCTAGTTCTCGTGGACTGGCAGGTGTAGGCATAGCACTTAGCATGAGGGCGGAACAAGCGCTATTAGAGTGGATCCCCGTTAACAGTCGTCTATGCGCTGTTCGGCTAAACGGCTCCGTAGGAACTCGGAAGGATAGGGACACACGTCGTTGCCTTTTCGTCGTTTCTGCCTACGCTCCGACTAACTGCGGTACGGATGAAGTGAAAGATGAATTTTGCAGAAAGCTGTCTGAACTTCTTCAGAAAGCTAAACGTTCAGACATAGTACTCGTAGGAGGTGACTTTAATGCCCAGGTAGGTAGCCTAAACAAAACAGAAAGACATTTAGGTGGGTATTTTAGTATTCCGGCACAGCGAACAGATAATGGTGATCGTCTGCTGCAACTTTGCTCAGACAATCGTTTATTTTTAGCAAACACAAATTTTAAGCATAAGGAGAGACATCGTCTAACATGGCGACCCCGTGCACCAAACCAACGATGGACTCAAATAGACCATATTGCCATCAGTCATCGTTGGAGAGGGTCAATAGAAGATTGTCGCTCATTCTGGGGTACCTGCTTGGACTCTGATCATGCCCTAGTACGAGCACGCATCTGCTTGCGCCTCACTGGACGCAAAAGAGCCACACAAAAAAGACTCATTAGAACCGAATTGAGTAATGAGAAAGCCAAAAGTAGGTTCCAGGAACAACTGAGGTCACACTTAGGTAGTTCTGAAAACGAGGCTGACCCCGATGTTGATTGGAAAGACATACAAGCAGCTGTGGAAACAGCAGTGACATCTACCAGTAATTTAAACCAAATGGTTACAAAAAACCAATGGATTTCGTCAAGGTCTATTGCACTGATAGATTCTCGCAAACTCATCCCATCAGGTTTTGAATACGATGAAGAGCGTAAAGAAATCAAATCTAGATTAAGCAAAAGTCTAAGGAATGATCGTGAGCAGTGGTGGGCAACGAAAGCAAAAGAGATGGAAAAGGCGGCGGCTATAGGGAATACAAGACAACTCTACAGACTAATAAAAGAAACTGGAATTAATAAATCAAGTGTAAGTCAGACCATTTCGGAAAAAGACGACACTCTCATCTGCTCCCAGTCCAGACGCTTAGAACGATGGGCGGAACACTTTAAGGAGCAGTTTAGCTGGCCTTCAGCTACTCTACAACTACCCTCTATTCCCAGACAGTGTGAATGGAACATTGAAGTAGGTCCCCCAACTCTAGCTGAAGTTCAAAAGGCTATAGGTAATCTGAAACGAGGAAGGGCAGCTGGTCCAGATGGATTGGCCCCAGAGGTCTTTAAGGATGGTGGTATAGTCTTAGCGATTAGGTTGACTAATATTTTAGCTAAAATCTGGGAGTTAGACGTTATTCCATCTAACTGGTCACAATCACTTATCGTCCCAATATTTAAGAAACGGTCAAAATCATCGTGTGACAACCACAGAGGGATTAGTTTGACTAATATAGTATCTAAAATACTAGCTTCGATAATTTTCGGACGCCTAACTAAGACTCGTGAACTGCAAACACGTGAAAATCAGGCTGGCTTCAGACCTGGTCGTGGCTGCATCGACCACATATTCACCATTCGTCAGGTTCTAGAACACAGGCATACTTATCGGCGTCCGACAATGGTGGTCTTCCTTGACTTAAAAGCAGCGTTTGACTCTGTTGACCGAGAGGTTCTGTGGCAGTGTCTGTCATTGAAAGGCGTACCTCAGAAGTACATAAACCTTGTGAAGGCTCTTTACTCGAACACTACTAGTCGGGTCAGAGCCTATGGTGAACTGTCATCTGCTTTTGCAACCTCAAGTGGCGTCCGTCAAGGCTGTCCACTTTCTCCTTTTTTGTTTAACTTTATCATAGATCTACTGATGGAAATAATGTTCTCATCGACTGACTTCTCGGGTATTGATCTCCTACCAGGAGGTCCACTTATTGACTTAGAATACACAGATGAAATAGTCCTGTTTGGTGAAGACGCTGATGAAATGCAGAGTCTTTTGGTAGCACTGAGCAACAATGCCAGAATGTTTGGGATGCGCTTCTCTCCCTCTAAATGCAAGTTGTTGCTTCAGGACTGGTCTGCATCAACACCTGAACTAAGGATAGGGGGTGAAGTAGTTGAACGCGTTGACAACTTCACTTATCTTGGAAGTCTGATCAGCCCTAATGGGTTGGTGTCTGACGAAATCTCAGCACGGATTCGAAAAACTCGTTTGGCCTTTGCCAACTTACGTCATCTATGGCGCAGGCGAGATATCCGTCTATCAATTAAGGGACGAGTATACTGCGCGGCAGTTCGTTCCGTTCTACTATACGGCTGCGAAACATGGCCATTAAGAGTAGAAGATATTCGTAAGTTACTAGTATTTGACCACAGGTGCCTTAGAAATATTGCTCGCATCTGCTGTGATCACCGGGTAAGTAATAGTGAGGTTAGACGCAGGGTACTAGGGAATGATGGTAAATCAGTTGATGAGGTTATGAATCTTCATCGACTGAGATGGTTAGGCCACGTTCTGCGTATGCCTGAACACCGATTACCACGACGCGCAATGCTGACTAGTGTAGGGGATAATTGGAAGAAAGTTAGGGGCGGCCAAACCAAAACGTAGCATCAATGCTTGAAGTCACTAACTTCTGGTCTGAGCCATGTTGGAAGATTCAGATTGCCTGGTTGGGGTCCGCGTGACTATCGTAACCAATGGTTGGAGACTCTTGGTGACATGGCTCGGAATCGATCACAATGGCGTCGGTGTATACACTCTCTGTCTTCCTTAAATTAAGAGATTAAAATCGCTTCATATCTGTCTAGGAACTAATTCTTTCTTCCTTTACTATCTCCTTATACACAATCTTTCTTCTATATATTACCACCACTGAATTAACTACTCCTATGAATCCGGTGTTCATCTTGTTGTGCTAATGCGGTATGGCAACTTGGACCGATGCATATACGTACCTGGTCCTACGTTGCAGCTGACTGACTGAAGCTCCAAATGCCATTTTGAGTACCATTGAGCTACTTTGCTGAACTCCATTCTAATGCAATTTTGCACATTGTTCATTTCATGAGAAAATGAACACTGCTTTAAGGACCGTCTTCCTATAGAAGAGGCTCACTCGTAAAGAGGCAATTTCAAATATCATTTATATAAATGAAAAAGAGTAAAGGATCTAAGACACTACATTGTATCATGCCATTTTGACCGGGAAAGGGTTCGACGAGGAGGAGTTGGTTCCGACTATTTCGTGTGAGTGACTGATATAAGAATGAAACTGTGGAAGTAGAGGGTTTTTGACGTCGTAAGATGTAAAGTTGCTTATAAGAAGCTGGTTGATTACCAAGTCAAAGCTTTAGAAATGTCAAAGTATAACGTTAAGACTAGATTTTGTTGGTCATGTTGAATAGAGTCTAAATTGAAGAAGTTAAAATGGCGGGGTCATACATGGTTGATTTTTAAGGAAGCTACGTTGGGAATCAGTGATGCGTTTTCCAGTGAGTAAATAGTTTGCGAGTTTGTCACCGACAATTTTTTCCATAATCCTAGAGATAACTGAAGTAATATTTATGGACCGATAATTGTTTATGTCAGTCTCATCTCCAAATATATGCAGTTTTCTAACAGTGAGAATGAGTACCTGTTCCCAGAGGGAGTAAATAATTTTGGAAGAAGTGAAATATCTGGTCCACTATATTTGTGGAGAAAGAATCAAATCCCGTCTACTTTATGACCTCTTGAAACCTTAAGGGAGTTTATAACTGTTACGCCCTTGATCTGTCTACCCACTTATTGTGCCGAGGATACTTTCTAATCTAGACTTTGACGCGATATGCTGATCGGCTTAACCTTGAGATTAGTACGCGAGAGTTCGAGATAGGGTAGAGAGAAGAAAACTATTCTGTCACCTGATTGGTGGACAAGCACACGAATGAGAGAAGACAAAACAATTGGAGCACTACTCGATCTATTCCTGATATCCTGATCTTCTGATTTCCAATAAGTGTAAAAACGTGCATGAATAAATAGGTGAATAACTCGACAATAGCTTCGGAACAGAAAGGGATATGGCAGTGAATGATACATCAAACGAAAGCTTATGTTCTGTAGAATAGATTAGGGACAAAAATAAATGTCAGTGCTTTACAATCTTTGAATAAAGTGAAATAACGTCCCGAAAGATAGCTTTCATAGTTTGTCAGGGCTACTTGTTCCCCTGTTCACATCAATAACCTTGCTAATTTCTTGGAATGTGAAAGAGATTGATTTTATTTTCACAATTCTAAACCTAATTTAGTGATATAATCGATGAACTTGCTTCACTTTCTCAATTAAAACATTTTAATTGAATGTTATACAATCTTTTGGTTATCTGATAAAGAGTATCACTATTCTTAGAGATTTCCTTAGAATCCTACCAACGTTTTTATAATACAGTTAGTTTCACTGGTTGAAATCATGAGTCAATTGAAGCTAGATCATCATGGGAAACCTGGAAACACTGGACGGCCGTTTCGTCCTAGTATAGGACTCCTTTTCAGCAGTGCGCATCCAAGATCCCACTACCCCCGAGATTCGAACGCATGACCTATCAGTCTCGCGCCAGGCGCTTAACTAACTAGACCACTGAGCCGACCGGCATCGAATGGTGTTAATGTCTAACTTCAACCAATCGACGAGGTTGCGTCACCGTACACCATTGTCTTCAGTGAGCTGATATCTCACAACAGACCTGGTTGAACTCCACTGGTAACGGCTTCTCACTAGAGCTCCAGGAGTATCTCTTGAAGTCAGTCATTAGTGAGCAGATTCAACCCCTTGATAATAATATAATTAATTAACTGACCATTCTTCTTTTTTTATAATTTTATAAACAGAATGATTTCAAATCCAGTGTAAATGGGAGTTCTATGTCTCAGAATTGTCAATCTACAACATCAATATGTAACTCAATATGTTTACCTCCTCTACCAACAAATCAACATGGTCATTTAGGCTTAAGAGATCATGTTGATTTACCTTTGTGTTTAGCTTTATGTCATCTTCAATTATCTGAAGCAATTGCAAAAGTTCCTGAAGATGTAAGTCTATTATGATGATGTTCCGATTTTTGTTTTTGTTTCACTTTGTATCCTTGTGCCCTATTAATATATAGTGTAATGATACTGCCAATTAGAGAGCAGTGAATTATTAACCGGACTAATGACGCATAAAACAAGTACGAGCAGTCTAGAGTCCTTATCGGTACTTCTTCTTGCCTAGTCCTTCCCTACTTATACTCTTACTACCTCTACCACTACGAGATTTGAATCGACAATTGCATCTCTGTGGTAATATGGTATGGCAACTCGAACTGATGTACATACGTACGAAGTTCTACGTTGTTACTGGCTGACTAAGCCCTGCCGATTGAGTCCAAAACACTAATCTCAGCTTCTGTGATATGAATCATGTATTTCAAATATACTGGGTTTATAATACCAATCAAACAGATCACATTGTACCATAAAATAGGAAACAACATTTGTACAAGATATAGCCAAAAGTGGCTGTGAATGTAGGAAACTGTTATTAATAGACTGGGTATAACTCAAGAATGGTAAATCGTATAATAGTAGTTCATAGGTCAAAATAAAGCTGAATGACTGACTAGAATAAATGCATCTTATTTTATCGGTACGGATTTGAATGGTCTATATCTATCCATCGGCAAATAGAACTCGCTCATCTTTGAATGACAACAGATCACTTGTCTATGAAACTTCTTCATTTGTAAATTACAAACATATCGAATTTATTGATAAAAAACTCGAAGCCCTACTTAGGTTAGATCTACAAAGTGAACTGATGTGTCGCTAAAAGTATCTAGGTGGTTTTCATTTTTAAATTTGTAACATTATCGGAAAAAAATATTATTTCTCGATGGTTCTGGAAAGAAAATTGGGTTAGTGGTGGTGATCTTTATGACTACAGAACGGGAATGAAACAAGATTAGCAAAGTGCTGAAAGTAACATAGTTGTAAAAAGAAAGATATCTCTTTTAGTGATGTGTTTGTATTGACGAATTTAGATGGTGGTTGGAGGTAGTCGACAGGAAACTCTGGACCCGGGTTTCGTGCTACTTGGCACTCGTCAGCAAAGTGTACCTGTAATCTTTGTGGGAACTGGTGCTCCCTGGTGGGTTCGATCCCGTGTCACCCAGCTTCACAGTCAGACATGTTACCACTGAGCTATCCGAGCCGCGACCGACCTCCTGTAGGACTGAGATGGGGATCGAATCCACCGGGGATTTCCCAATAGTATACCGATAAAACAATTGAAAATTGGGAAACATCAAATGTTTGTACGTTTCTATTCCCAAAATTGTTCATCATTTGATATGTCTTGCAATTTGAACGCTATATTCGGTTCCTAAGCCATTCTGGTAACCCTCAAGCGACCTGAACACGAGAGACAAGGCGCAAAGTATGCGAGAAATACTTTACTCCAAAGGTTCATTCTAATACAGAAAATATAGGGTTTTTATAATATTTTAAATGTCCTTGGGTTGCTCGAAGATTCTGGAATGCTACCTAAACATAGTAGCAGTATGGCAATCAGCCAATCAGAACCTCTACATGTGATGTTTCACATCCTTAATGTTTCTGGCTAAAACTTCAAGTGAACACTGATTAGATGAAATGCTGCTTCTTCATGTTTCTTTGATCTTTGGATGTCTTTCACAAGAAATTTTCTGAATCATCCCAACATCATTATAATTTCTTGACATATTTAACTAATCAATTAATTAGGTTTTGTCGGTTTTTCAACTTGAGAATGGGATCCACAATGTTCAGTCTCATTCACTCATGCTTGGGTGTGTCATGTCTTTTAGAACTAAATATTATCCACCGATTACCACGACGCGCAATCCTAACTGGTGTTAGAGATAATTGGAAGAAAGTTAGGGGCGGCCAAACCAAAACGTGGCATCAATGCTTGAAGTCACTAACTTCTGGTCTGAGCCATGTTGGCAGACTACTTTGTTGGGGTCCACGTGACTATCGTACCCAGTGGTTGGAGACTCTTGGTAACATGGCTCAGAATCGATCACAATGGCGTAGGTGTATACACTCTCTGTCTTCCCTTAAACTAAACTATGAGATTAAAATCACTTCATATCTTTCTTTCTACGATCTAATTCTATCTTCCTGTACTATCTTCTTCTACGCAACCTTTCTTTTACATATTACCACCATTGAATTAACTACTTCTACTAATCCGGTGTTCATCTTGTTGTGGTAATGCGGTATGTCAACTTGGACCGATGCATATACGTGCCTAGTCCTACGTTGCATCTGACTGACTGATTATCCATTGTCTTTCCATACGTCACTAGGATGGAGGCTAACACCTTGATGCATTTGGGAAGCAGAATTGTTTACAGACTTCACACAGTACATTTGTCTCAAATATGAAAGCACAAATTAGTACCTTGGTTTCTGACGAACGGTTTATTTGAAAAAAAAAAGTCTAAAACAAATGAAATAGTTTGACAATGTTTCCGATTGCGGGTAGTGTTGGGATAATCCAGAAAAATTCTCGCAAAAGACACACAAGGATCAGGAAACATTAAGAAGCATTTCATCCAATCAGCGTTCATTTGAAGGTTTAGCCAGAAACATCAAAGATGTGAAACATCATATGTAGAGGTTCTGATTGGCTGGTTGCTATACTGCTACTATGTTTAGGTAGCATTCCAGAATCTTCGAGCAACCCAAGGACATTTAGAATATTATAAAAACCTTATTTTTTTTGTATTAAAATGAACCTTTGGAGTAAGGTACTTTTCACATACTTTGCGCCTTCTCTCTCTCTCTCTCGTGTTCAGGTCACTGTCTTGTAGTTCTAGCTTGGGGGGGGGGGGGATAACAAGAATATTGTAGGAATCGAGTATAGCGTTCAAATAGCAAGATTTATCAGGTAGTCAGTGTGACATCTTCAACTTAATTTTCTCTCTAATTGACACTTGTTAGCAAGAGAATACGTATATACAACTGATGCTCCCTGTCTCAGATAAACCTACATCATTCATCTTCACAATCATAGACGTTACAAATGAGTTAGTCAAACTGTTCGTTTTACTTGATGTTTAAGTTATTCCTTATAATCCTATAAAAACCGCTTAAATTCTTAAACTTTTTATTTATTCATAATTGTAATATAAAATTGTAGAAAAGAATGCCTCATGTTAAAGAATTGAAATTAATCCTAGATGAAATAGATACATTTCTTGTATCTGGTAAAGATCCTCAACCAAATTGGTGGCATCATAATGATAATAATAATAATAATAATAGTAGTAATAATAATAATACTAATAATCATAGTAATAATAAAACAACAATATCAATAAAGAATAACACACCAACAAGAAAAACAATCAATGATGAAAATGTAAACAATGAACCGAAAAGTAATTCAAAATCACTTTGTTTCCAGTCTCATAGAAACAGATCTATAAATAATGATGCTAATATCTATGAATGTACAAATAATGAATCCAAGTCAATCATAATGAATACATCATCATCCGTCAGTAAAAGTATAAATCTATCCGATGATAATGATGATGATGATGGTGTAACAATCTCTGCATTAAATTCATCAGTTACTAGTTTTATATCACCTAAACAAATTGTTTTTCCTGAAAAAAACGATTCTCATCATGATGATAAAGAGAAACAAATTAAAATTATAGTGAGTTTCTTTTGTTTTCTGTGTTTTGTTTGTATTCTATGTGTATAACTGTTATGTTCTATTATTGATATGCCTTTTACTAAATGCCTTGGTACGGCCGAGAGTGGTGAGAGTCCGCTCTCCCTCTCCAAATGCTCTCATGTGGCCACGCGTATATAGCCTCTGCCAACAGAAGTCCTACTCATTGCCTTCTCGTGGTGGGGGTGTTGTTTACGAAAATGAGAGGACGAAAAGCGAATGTCCGGCACTTGAACCGGATCCCAAACCAATGGTGCACATGGGTTGGCTCCAGTATCGTGAATACAGTGGTTGATTATGAATACAGTGGTCTTGAGTGCTGTTAGAGGTATGAGGGCGGTTATTACTTCTCGGTTGCCCATACCGTCGAAGGGTTCTGCTGGAGGTACCTGAAAAGGAAATTGGATTAGAGGTGTTCTTGATGACCTGAGAGTGTGACCGCAGTGCCCAAGGGACAGCTGCTTGAGGTCGGTCACTCACGACCTTTTCATGAGTAATTTTTGTGTTAGCTCCGTACTTGTTGAGACCTTACCGCCGGAGACGGATATCCGTGGGATAAGGCGAGGTGTGCAATTTTACGGTCGACCTTTTCTAACCTCACTACACCACTTCTTGTGGGAAGGCAGCATCGCTTTCATGCTGGTTGTTTGAAGGAAACAGTTTACTACTGTCACATCTCTGTACAGTCAGTAGCACGACTTCGCCTTCGGACGTTGGATCTGTTGCTTTTAGTCTTTCCGCTCTTCAACCGACCTGTTTGGCATGGTAGGACTTTGAGGAACGATTGTTCCAGCCAGTATAGCTCAGTTGCTTCATCACGATAGGCAAGCCCGCCCGCCTGACCACCCCGTCAAGGTAGCAACAACGGTCAGGAACAAATGGCGTATAAACCAATCATTGGTCACCGGCTACCATGGGACTGCATCTCCTTACAATGCTCCACTGCCTTGTGGATCAGACGTGCAGGTCGAAGGCTCGGGGTTTGGCCCCCTAAGTAAACTACCTGCTTTGGTTTGGCCATACGAGTAGTATGACAGCCCTTACACATATCAAATGAGATCTGTGTGGCGCATATGTATTTGGTGCCTCCTTGTATCAATATCTATGTGTTAAAATAAAAATAAAATGAGTGTAATTCTATTGTCTTCTCTCAAATAGCTTAGTCTAACTCCTAAGATTTCACATTGTATAAACCTTTTATAGATAATCATGGGAAAACTATTTAAGCTAACCTAACTTAATAATGATCAATTAATTTTATCATTATAATTATTTTACTTTTAGCCTGATTCAAATGTCAAGTTGGTTGTATCAAAAGGTAAGCATAATAATTCATATATTCAAGAACATATAACACGATCTAACTCCATAGAGATTATTAAAATTCCACCTACAAACAATGATAATAACTTGATAGATAAAAATCATGAAGAGATCTATGATATATTGAATCCTACTAATACTCATATAGTTTTACCAATTGTTTCGAATACATCTAAAAAAGTTACAGAATCCAATTATGATTTCTCATCAATAACACAACGTGATAATCGAAGAAGAGTTCAAGGTACAAGAAAAACACAAGAACCTATTATTATTCATCAGAATATTGTCGATATTGACAATAATCTATACGTTAATAATACATTACAAAAGTCATCAGTAATAGATCATCATCATCATCATCAACAACAACAACAACAACTATCCAATCATAGTGAATCAATTGATCTATGTAACAATATAATTAATCCAGAACATGTTGAACCTTCCGAGTTTAATCCAATTTATTTAGGGAATTCTACATCCTCTGGTTATCATACTATTTCAAGTCATGAGAATATTGTAAAATATCCAATTATAGAACAAAAATCAACTAAAGTTGATCCAATTCTTATCTCTACATCAGATAATGATATCATTATGACATCATTGTCTACTACTAATACTACTACTGATATCAGTAGTATAAATAATCCTATATACACTTGTCATTCATTAAAACAAACTAGTTCCATTAATTCCAATGATTTTCATAATCCAATGACAATTACTAATGATACAAATCATTCATTAGATATATATAATCCACAATTAAAGACAATTTCACAAAATTCTATAAGACAACATACATATGTAAATTTATCAAATGATATTCATCAAACCAATCAACTAATTGATACATTCAAAGATAATCATTTTAATAATAAAATAAATAATCTTGAATTAGATAAACGTAATTGGGCACCACCTATGTATATATCAAATGAACAAAAAAATAGACGTAACACATTTACATATTCAACATCACCAATAGAATCAATAAATTATATGACAAATCCAAATACTCTTCATCATTATTATAATGATGATCAAGAAAATGTTAATTTTACAGATCCATTTAAATGTTCATCATTATTTGAACAAGATGAATTATGTCAACAGTCTACATTACAAACAGAAATACAAAAAATTAAATGTATATCATCAAATAATTCTCATACTATTGGTGTCATTCCTAATAAAAGAACTGCATTAATTTCATCCACATCACCATTATCATCAGAAGATGTAAGCTTGTGTGTGTATGTGTGTGTGTGTGTGTTTTTTTTAAAATACTTTCTTCCATTTTTCATAGGTGTCTTTGAAACATTCATCGTATCTCCTGGGACTATCAAGTAACTAATACAGTTGTTAGGAAATGGGTACTAGGTAAGGATGGTAAATCAATAGACGAAGTAGTGAAATTTCATCAGTTCGGATGGCTGAGACATGTGTTACGTATGCCCGACCACCGACTGCCCCGACGTGCTATGTCTTCTGGTGTAGGAGTAGGTCGGAAGAAAGCTAGGGGCGGCCAAACCAAATTTATTTATTATTTATTTATTTATTTTAACAGATAGGTATTGGTACAGGGAGGCACCAAATACTTATGCGCCACAAGAATCTCAATTGATTTGTGTGAGAGCTGTGATACTTCCCGGGTGCCCAAACCGAAGCAGGTGGTTTACTTAGGGGGCCACACCCCGAGCCTTCGACCTGAAGATCTGATCCACAAGGCAGTGGAGCATCGTGAGGAGATGCAGTCCCATGGTAGCCGGTGACCAACGATTGGTTCATACGCCATTTGTTCCCGCAGGATACTGGAGCCTATGTGCACCATTGGTTTTTGGATCCGATTAAAGCGCCGGACATTCGCTTTTCGTCCTGTGATTTTCGTAAACAACAGTAATGCCACGTGGAGGCAGTGAGTAGGACTTCCCTGGCAGGGGCTATGTACGCGTGGCCATGTGAGAGCATTTCGAGAGGAAGAGCGGACTCTCCTCACTCTCGGCCGTACCAGGGCATTTGTGGGCTTGGGATCTCCTGTCCAGTTGTTACCAACTTCTTTTCATTCATGATATCTGCCTCCGATTCCCGGTGCAATGTGTTTTTGTGTCTTCCTCTTCCTTTTTTCCATCAGAATTCCAAGTTATAGCTTGACCCATGACATAATTTGATGATTTCTGTGATGTGTGTCCCATGCACCTCCTGCGTTTTTTCCTAATCTCCTCTTCAATTAGACTTTGGTTTATTCTCTCTCATAGTCAGTCAGTCAGCTGCAACGTAGGACCAGGTACGTATATGCATCGGTCCAAGTTGCCATACCGCATTAGCACAACAAGATGAACACCGGATTCATAGAAGTAGTTAATTCAGTGGTGGTAATATATAGAAGAGAGATTGTGTATAAGGAGATAGTAAAGGAAGAAAGAATTAGTTCTTAGAAAGATATGAAGCGATTTTAATCTCTTAATTTAAGGAAGACAGAGAGTGTATACACCGACGCCATTGTGATTGATTCTGAGCCATGTCACCAAGAGTCTCCAACCATTGGTTACGATAGTCACGCGGACCCCAACCAGGCAGTCTGCATCTACCAACATGGCTCAGACCAGAAGTTAGTGATTTCAAGCACTGATGCCACGTTTTGGTTTGGCCGCCCCTAACTTTCTTCCAATTATCTCTAACACCAGTGAGCATTGCGCGTCGTGGTAATCGGTGTTCAGGCATACGCAGCACGTGACCCAACCATCTCAGTCGATGAAGGTTCATAACCTCATCAACTGATTTACCATCATTCCCTAGTACCCTGCGTCTAACCTCACTATAACTTACCCGGTGATCCCATCAGATGCGAGCAATATTTCTAAGGCACCTGTGGTCAAATACTAGTAACTTACGAATATCTTCTACTCTTAATGGCCAAGTTTCGCAGCCGTATAGTAGAACGGAACGAACTGCCGCGCAGTATACTCGTCCCTTAATTGATAGACGAATATCTTGCCTTCGCCATAGATGACGTAAGTTGGCAAAGGCCAAACGAGCTTTTCGAATCCGTGCTGAGATTTCGTCAGACACCAACCCATTAGGACTGATCAGACTTCCAAGATAAGTGAAGTTGTCAACGCCTTCGACTACTTTACCCCCTATCCTTAGTTCAGGTGTTGATGCAGACCAGTCCTGAAGCAACAACTTGCATTTGGAAGGAGAGAAGCGCATCCCAAACATTCTGGCATTGTTGCTCAGTGCTACCAAAAGACTCTGCATTTCATCAGCGTCTTCACCAAACAGGACTATGTCATCTGCATATTCTAAGTCAATAAGTGGACCTCCTGGTAGGAGATCAATACCCGAGAAGTCAGTCGATGAGAACGTTATTTCCATCAGTAGATCTATGATAAAGTTAAACAAAAAAGGAGAAAGTAGACAGCCTTGACGGACCCCACTTGAGGTTGCAAAAGCAGATGACAGTTCGCCATAGGCTCTGACCCGACTAGTAGTGTTCGAGTAAAGAGCTTTCACAAGGTTTATGTACTTCTGAGGTATGCCTTTCAATGACAGACACTGCCACAGAACCTCTCTGTCAACAGAGTCAAACGCTGCTTTTAAATCAAGGAATACCACCATTGTCGGACGCCTATAAGTATCTCTCCCATAGTAGGTTGTTGTTATTCACTTTGTATCCTTACTTTAATTTTTTTCTTTTCTTTTCATGTTTTTTTCTTTTAATAATTATAAAGAATAAGAATAAGAATAAGAATACACCAACAACAATCATAGATCTTCAAAATGAATTAGATGCATCTCAAACACGTTTAGCTAATGCTCAAGCACGTCTATTAGCTAATGAAATTGAACGTATGGAAATATTAAAATTATGGCAAAATGAATTAATTAAACAATCACAATTAATTAATGCAAGTAAATCAATTTGTAATAATTCATTAATTTCAAAATTCTCATCTCAATTACAATTAACCAATATAGAAAATCATTTACATTTTAATCCTAATGGAAATGATCATGATGATGATCATGATCATGATGATCATGGACCTAGATCAATATCAGTAATACCATTATTAAATTTAAATGGATTTACATTACAAAATTATTCTGATAGTATTTATGATTATGATGATAGTGAATTAATGAATAATACTGATACAAATATACAATTACATAATAATAATAATAATAATAATAATAATAATAATAATAATAATAATAATAATAATGGGATGAATCGAAATTTTGGCTTACATACATCATCTCCTAATTCATATATAAAATCATTGAGGTAAGTATTATCTAATTCTATATCGTACAATTTACTGAATATTACTTAATTAATTAATTACGCCTGTTAATCCGAATGGAGTATAGGCCACCGACCAGTATTCTCCAACATACTATGTCTTGGGCGTTCTTTTCTAGTTCCATTCAATTCTTGTTCAATTTTCTTATTTCTATCTCTATTTCCCGACGTAATGTGTTCTTTGGTCTTCCTCTTCTCGTTTGGCCTTGAGGGTGCCATGTGAAGGCTTGTGTTGTGACGCAGTTCGGTGATTTCTTCAATATGTGTCCTATGTCACTCCCAGCGCTTCTTTCTGATTTCTTTCTCCACTGGAATCTGGTTTGTTCTATTCCACAGTGGGTTGTTGTTGATAGTGTCCGGCCAACGGATCTGAAGTATTTTGCGTAGACAACTGTTAATAAACACCTGTATCTTTTAGATAATGGCTTTTGTAGTTCACCAGGTTTCGCCCCCATACAGTAGAATTGTTTTGACATTTGTATTCAAAATCCTGACCTTGGTGTTGGTTGACAGATAGTTGTTTTGAGTTCCAGATATTCTTCAGTTGTAAATATGCTGCTCTCGCTTTGCCGATCCGCGACTTCTTCTCTGCATCAGGTCCACCAGTTCATCAATGATGCTGCTCAAATATGTAAAGGTTTTTGCATCTTTCAAAACTTTTCTGTCAAGTGTGATTCGATTGGTGCATGCTGTGTTGTATCAGAGAATCTTTCTTTTCCCTTTGTGTATGTTGAGACCTACTGCTGCTGAGGCTGCTGCTACACTGATCGCCTTCTTCTGCATATGTTGTTGTGTGTGCGATAGAGGATTCTGATCATCTGCAAAGTCTAGATCGTCCAACTGCATCCTAGATGTTCACTGTCCGGCGCTTTAACCGGATCCCAAACCAATGGTGCACATGGGCTGGCTCCAGTATCCTGAAGGAACAAATGGCATATGAACCAATCGTTGGTCACCGGCTACCATGGGACTGCATCTCCTCACGATGCTCCACTGCCTTGTGGATCAGACGTTCAGGTCAAAGGCTCGGGGTATGGCCCCCTAAGTAAACCACCTGCTTCGGTCTGGGCACCCGAGCAGTATCACAGCCCTCACACAAATCAATTGTGATTCGTCTGGCACATATGTATTTGGTGCCTCCTTGTACCAATACCTATGTGTTAAAATAAATAAATAACTGTATCCCGTGCTTCCCTTCAGATGTTGACGTCTTCATAATCCAGTCGATCACCAGGAGAAAGAGAAAGGGTGAGAGTAAGCAACCTTGCGTGACACTGGTCTTTACTTCGAAGGAGTTTATCAACTGTCCTCCATGAACAATTTTTCTGTTTAATCCATCATTAGGAACTTACTGAATATGTATATAGATTAATAGCTACACAGATAAGCCATAAGTGTCATTGATTGCAGTTCCAAATACAAATGAAATTATACCTCATAATATAAACAACAAATCAGAACTATTTCTTTTTTTTTTCTCTATTGACTTAATTTTCTTGAATAAATAACGTTAGAATAATAAAGAATGTATTACGTCATTTCATTACATTAACTTTATAGATTCAAAGCTGGAGAATTTCAATTGTTACTTCAATAATACAAGTCATTTAATCATAAGGTAATGATTAAGAATGTTCTTAATGCTACATACCTTATTGACATACGCCTATAATCCACCAAGAAAGAGCAAAGGCCACATATCACGATTATTCAACCAACTCTATCCTAGGCAATCCATCACTATTGCTACTCATCCTTTTCATGTCTGCTTCTAGTTCTCGGCTCAGTAAGTTCTTTGGTCTCCATCTTTTCCTTTCCCCTTCAGAATTCTAAGTTAAGCCTTATCTAGTATTGCAGTTTGATGATTTCCACAATGTGTGTTCTATCCACTTCCAACGTCTTTTCCTAATTTCTTATTCAACTTGAAGCTGGTTCGTTCCCTCCCACAGTAGGTTGATGGTATTCAGTTGACAACGGACATTGAGTTTCTTGAGTAAACGATTGTTTATAAATAATTGTACTTATTTTGATGATGGTTGTAGTTCTCCGAATTTCAGGGACACATGTCGTTGCCCTTTCCTCATTTTGCCTACGCTCCCACTGATTGTTGCCTGGATGCCATAGTAAGCTTTGTGAACTTCATCAAAAAGCTAAACACTCAGACGTAGTACTCGTAGCAAGTAACTTTAATGCCTAAGTAAGTAGCTTAAATCAAACAGAAAGACATTTAGGTGGATATTTTATTATTCTGGCTCAGCGAACAGATAATAGTGACCGTCTGCTGCACCTGTGCTCAAACAATCGTTTATTTTTAACAAGCACTACTTTTACTCATAAGGAGAGACATAGTCTAACATTCGAGTTGAACTCAACGATAAAAAAGCCAAAAGTAAATTCGTTCTGTTTTACTTTACGGCTGCGAAACGTAGCCATTAGGAGTAGATGATACTTGTAAGTTACTAGTATTTGACCACAGATGTCTTAGAAATATTGATTGCATCTTCTGGGATCACCGGGTAAGTAGTAGTGGTAAGGTTACATGGGAATCTTCATCGATTGAGATGCTTGGGCCACATGTTACATATGCCTGAATACCGGTTACCACGACACAATACTGACTAGTTTTGGAGACGATTGGTCAAACTGACCAACTAGTTGATATTTATATAATTTCGTTTAATATTTGAGTCGTTACACCATCTTCTTGTTCATCTCAATTCATGTTGTGAAAATAAACTTTTTTTGATAATTCTCAAGTGTTTTTATTATTTATTTATTTGAACACTTAAATATTGGTACAAGAGGGCACCAAATATATATGCGCCACACAGATCTCATTGGATATGTGTGAGGGCTACGATACTGCCCGGGCGCCCAAACCGAAGCAGGTAGTTTACTTAGGGGGGGGGGTTCACCATGAGCCTTCGATCTGATCCACAAGGTCGTGGAGCATCGTGAAGAGATGCAATCCCATGGTAGCCGGTGGCCAATATTTGGTTCATGCGCCATTTGTTCCTTCAGAATACTGGAGCCAGCCCATGTGCACCATTGGTTTGGGATCCGGTCAAAGTGCCGGACATTCGCTTTTCGTCTTCTCATTTTCGTAAACAACAGTAATGCCACGAGAAGGTAGTGAGTAGGACTTCCCTGGCAGAGGCTATATACGCGTGGCCGTGTGAGAGCATTTCGAGAGGGAGGGCGGGCCCACCCCACTCTCAGCCATACCAAAGCATTTGGAGGCATTCTCAAGTGTGATAGCTATTTAAAGCAATTAGTCCCTTTGATAAGATAAATATGGTCAGAACTATGCGATATATTAACACAATACGTTTCAAACAACCTGATTACACATATACTTATTGTTTTCGTTTTTTAAAATACAGATCACATACCAATCAACCTCGTATGGGAGCATCTGCAGTTGTTACAAATTTACACGATTATCATGGGGCACCACCAATCAGTGATTATCTTCAATCGACAATACCACGAAGTAGAATAGTAACTAATCGAGGTTATCAATTACACAATACTACTACAACTATTACATCACCAACAAACACGGAATTAGATGAATTCTGTCGAATATCACGTAGTCCTTCTACACCAGGTTTATCTAACTCAAACTCAAATTTCACACATACTCTCCGTGTAGATCCTACTGGTAGTATAAACAAAGAGTTGAATTCAGTAGATAATTCAACTGATCCTGTTACGAATGATGAAGAATTTGCTAAACAAATTCAAGCTATTGTACATGAGAATAATCAACATTTATATTCATCATAATTAAATTCATAATTGTAATGAAGCATCTTATTCAATACTGTTATGACTACTAAATATACTATTTGATATGTAATTACTAATTCATTTGTCACGGAAACAATTATTGCTCACATATCAAATCTTCTACCCCTCCCTCTCCCCCCCCTCTTTTACAATAACGAAAATAAGAACAAAAGGAAACTCATTCTCTTTCCCCCCCCTGATCCGACCCTCTCTCTATGATAATTTATGCAAATGAACTTTCTATATATTTTGTTTATTATTTATTTATTTATTTATATGAAACTGTTCCTGGCCACAACCACTATCAATAATAATAATAATCATAAAACCGGCACAAAATATTTCTCTCTTCTTTTCATTTTGTATAGATTATTGATTTATTGATTTCATATAAATATAATATTGTTTACTTTGTGTTATTGTACAACAACAACAACAACAAAGATACCATTCATTGAAATAAATTAGTTTACATTCTGTTCACATGAAGTTTTTGATTGAGTTTTGTTTTGTTTTTGTTTTTCCTTCTTTCTTAATTTATTTCTTGACTCCACACCTTAGCCAAAAACAGGGAGTTGACTTGATACATTATCTGTTTACTTGGTTACCACCTGACGACCCCCAAATGCCCTGGTACGGCCGAGAGTGGGGAGAGTCCGCTCTCCCTCTCGAAATGCTCTTATATGGCCACGCGTACATAGCCCCTGCCAGGGAAGTCCTACTCACTGCCTCCACGTGGCATTACTGTTGTTTACGAAAATGAGAGGACGAAAAGCGAATATCCGGCGCTTTAACCGGATCCAAAAACCAATGGTGCACATGGGCTCCAGTATCCTGAAGGAACAAATGGCGTATGAACCAATCGTTGGTCACCGGCTACCATGGGACTGCATCTCCTCACGATGCTCCACTGCCTTGTGGATCAGACGTTCAGGTCAAAGGCTCGGGGTGTGGCCCCCTAAGGAAACCACCTGCTTCGGTTTGGGCACCCGAGCAGTATCACAGCCCTCACACAAATCAATTGAGATTCGTGTGGCGCATATGTACTTGGTGCCTCCTTGTACCAATACCTATGTGTTAAATAAATAAAATAAATAAATTACCACCTGACGGTAAATTTTTGTGGATTGATGGATATATAGGCATAACAGTAAGTATGAGGAGAGATAAAGTACTTTTAGAATGGATCCTTGTAATAAATACTCAAAAGGATAAGGATACATGTAATTGTTTTTTCATCATTTCGGCCTGCGCTTCCATTCATTCATTCATCAAAAAGAAAATTAGTCTACTATCAGAAAAGGTTTTATGGACATTGTAGTAATTTCAATGGTTAAAATCATGAGTCAGTTGAAGCTAGACCACCATGGAAACACTGGACGAGGTCGTGGATGCGCACTGCCAAGGAGGAGTCCCATAATAGGACGAAACGACTGTCCAGTGCTTCCAGGTTTTCCATGGTGATCTAGCTTCAATTGACTCATGATTTCAACTGACGGTAAATTCTTGTGGATTGATGAATATATAGGCATAGCATTACGTATGAAGGCAGATAAAGTACTTTTAGAATGGATCATTGTAATAAATACTCAAAAGGATAAGGATACATGTAATTGTTTTTTCATCATTTCGGCCTACGCTTCCATTCATTCACCAAAAAGAAGATTAGTCTACTATCAGAAGAGGTTTTGTGGAGATTGTAGTAATTTCAATGGTTAAAATCATGAGTCAATTGAAGCTAGACCACTATGGAAACACTGGACGAGGTCCTGGATGCGTACTGCCAAGGAGGAGTCCCATAATAGGACGAAACGACTGTCCAGTGCTTCCAGATTTTCCATGGTGGTCTAGCTTCAACTGACTCATGATCTTAACCATTTAAATTAGTCTACATTGTTTACATGAAGTTTTCAATTGAATTTTGTTCTTTTTCTTCTTCATCTTCATATGGAATATGACTTGATTAGATTTTAATGTTAATATGCAACTGTGGTTTCTTGTTAAAATAAATACTAAACGTTCTTGAAACCAAACAGAAAAAAACTACAAATTTGTTCCTACCAAATTATATTCACAGCTCAAATTGATCATCATCTTTTTTGATTGAGATCATGAACCGATTGATGTAAGACCAACAATGAAAACCTGGAAGTATTGAATGACCGTTTTTCTTCCTATTGTGGAACTCCTTAGCAGTTCACATCCACGATCCCGCACGCGGGATTTGAACTCAGAACTTCCGGTCTCGCACGTGAATGCTTAACCTCTAGATCACTGAGTTGGCATCCAACGATATTAATGTCTAATCAATCTGGTGTAGTCAGTCATAATCTGATTGGTTCAAGGAAGTTCGACTATCGATCAACAGATCTTAGCTTTCTAGTTACGGACTAGTTTAAATACACTGTGAATAACACAATACTGATGATATCAGTGTGAATACATGGACGCACGATAGTGATTCTACGTTTCAGGCTTGATGAGCTAGAACATCTAAACGTTTAGTTCAAACGACCAGATAATGTCACCATTGTTTATAATAGATATGCAACTCATATTCTATTTATGTGATCTAATGGAGTATATTTCTTTTTCAATCATTTCAAAGTGAAAATCGGTAACAGAAATAGTTTTGGCGAGACTATAATTTATGAAAGAATCAATCACGTATAAGATAACAGGTCTCAGATCTTGGCACGAAATTCACTCATTCATTTGGCTGAATAGAATTTTGGCATTATAGCTAATGTCAGTTCACGATCAAAACCCAAGATCGAAATCCTATTATTATTTATTTTAACACATAGGTATTGTTACAAGGAGGCACCAATTACAAATCGCAATTGATTTGTGTGAGTGCTGTGATACTGCCCGGGTGCCCAAACCGAAGCAGGTAGTTTTCTTAGGGGGCCACACCCAGAGCCTTTGACCTGAAGGTCTGATCCACAAGTCAGCATGGTAAAGAGATGCAGTCTCATGGTAGTCAGTGACCAACGATTGGTTCACACGCCATTTGTACCTTCAGGATACTGGGGCCCATGTGCACCATTGGTTTGGGATCTGGTTAAAGCGTCGGACATTCGCTTTTCGTCCTCTCAATTTCGTAAACAACACTTCCGCCACAAGGAGAAAGTGATTAGGACTTCTGTTGGCAGAGGAGGCTATGTACGCGTGGCCATGTGAGAGCATTTCGAGAGGGTGAGCGGACTCTTCCCACTCTCAGCCGTACCAGGGCATTTGAATTTCTAACCTTAATCATCAACTGTGAATCATAATGGTAATTCCTCACACAGGTTTATAACCCGCATCTGATCTTGGTTATTAGGCGGATACTCTCAAAGTCACTTTAACGTCGTTCAAAGGTTATCCATAAATTATAGTTTCATCGTAGTTTTTGATCAATTTAGCAAGTCTAATCAATATTCAATTTCAAGGTGAACGAATTGTTATTATCACCATTTGAACTATCAGTTTATTGTGTCAAAATATTTTTCTTATATTAATAATTAGGAAATAAACATTTCCATGTTCAGTCAACTACAACGTAAGACCAGGCACATATATGCATCGGGACAACTGCTTAAGGTCGGTCACACATCATCACCTTTTTGTGTTAGCTCCGTATTTGTTAAGGTCTTGAGTGCTGTTAAAGGTATGAGGGCGGTTATCACTTCCCGGTTCCCTACACCACGGAAGGGTTCTTCTGGAGGTACCTGGGAAGGAAATTAGATTAGAGGTGGTCATAGTGCCCAAGGGACAACTGCTTGAGGTCGGTCACACACGACCATTTTGTGAGTAGTTTTTGTGTTAGCTCCCTACTTGTTGACACCTTACCGCCATTGACGGATAACCGTGGGATAAGGCGAGGTGTGCATTTTTAGGGTCGACCTTTTCTAACCCCACCACAACACTCCTTGTGGGAAGGTAGCATCGCTTTCATGCAGGTTGTCTGAAGGAAACACCTTACTGCTGTCATACCTCTGTACAGTCAACAGTACGACTTCGCCTTCGGACATTGGATTTTAGTCTTACCGCTCTTCAACCGACCTATTTGACATGGTAGGACCTTGAGGAAAGGTTGTTCCAGCCAGTATAGCTCAGTTACTTCATCACAATAGGCAAGCCCGTCCAACCACCACGTCAAAGTAGCAACAACGGTTCATGTTGAAAAAATCTGTTAATATTTTTAACAAAAATGAATAATTTCATACCTTTTATAAAATGTCTACAAAAGATTATTTACAAAAATAAACATTCTCCTCTCCTGGAATCAGTACATATAAAAGGTAAAAAAAAAACATATATATCTAGTTCATCAATTTAGCAACAGCCTATTTGTTGGAAAGAACATAGCAACTTTCCTATGAAGAGAGAATTAACAAAACACGATGGAAATCGATAGGACATAAATTACAGAAATCATCAAATTAGATCACAAGACAATCGTTAATTTGAAATCCTGTAAGAAAAGCGGAAGACCAAAACAAACACATGACATCACGAAAATAGAATCAAATATGAAAAGGATGAATAAAAAAAAAACTGGAAACAATTGCCCAAGATAAGATTGGATGGAGTAATACTGGTGAGCAGTCGCCTATGCTTCTTCACAAGAAGTAACAAGTGTAACTAAGTAAGTAACTAAGTAAATAGTTCATCAATGTTCCTTAGAAACTATTTTCAAAACAAAGATATTTTAAATGTATATCTGTTTGTAAATATAATTGATTATATTCTAAATTTGATAAAATATTATAATCAATTGGTATAATACTTGCATTATTTACTATTGTTCTCCATTCATTAGAATAATATACAATATCAAGAATATTTGTTAAATCTTTAAAATATACTGGTAATTTAGGTATTCGTTTATACATGGTATATTGAATCAGTTGAGTGAATTCATCAATCAGATATTGTATTTCATAAATTAAACAATGTAATAAATCGATTATTGATTTTTGTATATTAAATAATGTATCGTTTGGTAATAATGATTGAATATAAGGAACCAAGTGAAAGTGATCATTAATATTATTTTGTGTCAATAATACATGATCTAATAGATTCAGTAATATATGTGAACTAAAAAAAGGAAAAACATACACATACACATACACACACACACACAAAATGAAATTCAATGATCAACTGATGAATAGAAACTTTAATATGAAGAAAGTGAATCATTTCCAAACAATAGGATAGATATATAAAAATATTACATGATTGAATTAGCCGCCAAATGCCCTGGTATGGTTGAGAGTGGGGTGGGTCAGCTCTCCCTCTCGAAATGCTCTTACACGGTCATTCGTATACAGCCTGTGCAAGAGTAATCCTACTCAATGCCTTCTCGTGGTATTACTGTTGTTTACGAAATTGACAGGACGAAAAGTGAATTTCCGTTGCTTTAACCGGATCTCAAACCAATGGTGCAACGCGGATATAGAAGGCTTGATTAGCTTTTGCCAACTTGCGTCATTTATGGCGTATGCGAGATATCCGTCTATCAACTAGACGACGTGTTTACTGTACAGCAGTTCGTTCCGTCCTACTTTATGGCAGTGAAACATGGCTAGTAGTATTTGATCATAGATGTCTTCGAAACATTGCTTGTATATCCTGGGACCATCGAGTAAGTAATGCAGTTGTTAGGAAACGGGTACTAGGTAATGATGGAAAATCAATTGATGAAGTAGTAAAACTTAATCAGTTGTGATGGCTGGGACACATGTTACGTATGCCCAACCACCGACTGCCCCGACGTGCTATGTTTTCTGGTGTAGGAGTTGATTGGAAGAATGCTAGGGGCGGCCAGACCAAAACATGGCACAAATGCATGAAGTCACTGACAAGTGGACTGAGAGAGCCATGTTGGTAGGTGTATAGTACCTGGTTGGGGTCGGCGAGATGATAGTAACCGATGGTTATTTTATTTATTTATTTATTTTAACACATAAGTATAGGTACAGGAAGGCACCAAATACATATGCGCCACACAAATCTCAATTGATTTGTGTGAGTGCTGTGATACTGCTCGGGTGCCCAAAACGAAGCAGGTGGTTTTCTTAGGGGGCCACACCCCGAGCCTTTGACCTGAACGTCTGACCCACAAGGCAGTGGAGCATCGTAAGGAGATGCAGTCCCATGGTAGCCGGTGACCAACGATTGGTTCATACGCCATTTGTTCCCGCAGGATACTGGAGCCCATGTGCACCATTGGTTTGGAATCTGGTTAAAGCGCCGGACATTCGCTTTTCGTCCTCTCATTTTTGTAAACAACATCCCCGCCACGAGAAGGCAGTGAGTAGGACTTCCCTGGCAGAGGCTATATACGCATGGCCACGTGAGAGCATTTGGAGAGGGAGAGCGGACTTTCCCCACTCTCGGCCGTACCAGGGCATTTGGGGGCAACCGATGGTTAAAGACCCTGAATGACATGGTTCACAATCGATTGCAATGGTGCAGGTGCATCCACTCTCTGTGTTCTCTCAAACTCTAATCTTCTGAATTCTCCATGTTCTTTATTTTCTTTCCAGATTTATTCCACTGTATTATAGTTCTTGAATAACATCATCAAACCCTAATGTTCCCGATTGCTACTGATACTTTTCTGCATCTCTGTGCTAATGTGGTATGACAACTCGAACTGATGCACGTACGTACGAAGTTCCACGTTGTTACTGACTGACTAACTGACTAACTTCGAGATTAAATATTGTGTCGCTGAGGTAAAGAAAAAAACCACCATTCAACTAATTGACTGAATGGTGAACTGTGTGCAGTATAAAGTAGCCGGCACGCAGCGATTACGAGGTAGAAATACAATTTATGCTTCTATCTTTCCTGCTTATTGAAATATGATGTTATTCATTTGATCAAACATTCCTTGATAAAGCCTAATCATCATTGAGGATCACAGAATCAACTCGGAGTTACAATATCTTATTGAGTATATGAAGAAAATTACAACAGAACTTGTATTTGAGTATAGTGGAGAACATTATTTTACCACTGACATTACGTCATAATCCCTTTTTTTTGATAGCTCAATGTTCAAGCAAACTTCATAATAAAAACACTTTGTTGATGCTAGAGTTAGATGAGAAAAAGTAGAAAGGTGGTTTGGATAATCACACAGCTTTACTGCATGAATTATAGCTGGGTTTCATTAGTGCTCGTCAAATAATTTACAACTGTTTAATTAGCGATCGTTATTAATCATTGAGAGAGACAGATAAAAATTCTAAGACCTCTTCACAACTTTATTTCCTACAATATTAAGTAAGAACACGAAAGACTGATGCAATGATTTACTGGCTCTCTAAAAATACATCCACGAATAGTCAGTCACTCAGTAACAACGTGGAACTTCGTACGTACGTACATCACTTCGAGTTGCCATACCACATTAGCACAGAGATTCAGTTATCGATTCAAATCCCACTGAGAGAACACAGAGAGTGGATGCACCTGCGCCATTGCAATCGATTTTGAACCATGTCATTCAGGATCTGTAACCATCGGTTGCTATCATATCGCCGACCCCAACCAGGTACTATACACCTACCAACATGGCTCTCTCAGTCCACTTGTCAGTGACTTCATGCATTTGTGCCATGTTTTGGTCTGGCCGCCCCTAGCATTCTTCCAACCAACTCCTACACCAGAAAACATCGCACGTCGGGGCAGTCGGTGGTTGGACATACGTAACATGTGTCCCAGCCATCTCAACTGATGAAGGTTCACTACTTCATTAATTGATTTTCCATCATTACCTAGTACCCGTTTCCCAACAACTGCATTACTTACTCGGTGGTCCCAGGATATACGAGCAATGTTTCGAATACATCTATGATCGAATTCTATCACCAAGTACCTCAAATCTCCTATATTTCAATTAACCAATACCTCTGAACACTAATGAATCTATTCATTCCATCTTCCAATTAATTATGTTTAGTAATTGCTAATCTATTGATAAATACTTTTCAATTCGCGTCAAATACCACTGCTTTATTGTTGAACATACATTATATATCTGTGTATTTGTATTGAGCTATGATGAAAAACTATCCATCTTTTTCTAAATGGGAAATTTTTAAAATGATCTAATGAAGTCTATTACTCTTCTAAAGGGATTGATCAAAGCTTCGTTTGAGATAATACAATCAATAGAAAGAAAATATGTGATGTGAACCTCCATCGATCGAATCAACTAGGAAATGTGGAGAACATTTCAAATTAATTGTATCAACTAATCAATCTACAAGATGGTGATTGAAGGTGATCATTAGTATTTCATGCTACTTGGCACTCGTCAGTCAGGTGTTCCCATAATCTTTGAGGGAACTGGTGCTCCCTGATGGATTTGATCCCGTGTCAGCCAGTTTCACAGTCAGAGACGTTACCATTAAGCTATACGGGCCGCGACTGACCTCCTTGCTCGATAGCATTCGATCTACACTAAGAAGTACCTGACATACATATAACATTGATCACCACCCACTGATAAATCAATTGTATTCAACCTACGTACTAATGATCTGAAATATATATATATAAGCATTGAAAGAAAGAATAATGATGTGAAGTCTATTCAATTTACCCTTTTACTGTGAAAATCCTTCGTAAAACAATGTGGCGGTGAAATGTTATAGAAGCTTTAGACAACCTATCAGATGAATAACCAATTACTAATATGTGAATTCTTCATGTCCTTTATTTTGTTTCCCAATTTATTCCACTAGACTATACTCCTTTAATAACATCATCAAACCTTAATGTCCCCTATCTCTACTTATACTTTCAGTACCTCTACCACTATGGGATTTGAATCGATAAGTGAATCTCTGTGCTAATGTGATATGGCAAGTCGAACTGATGTACGTACGTACGAAGTTCCACGTTGTTACAGACTGACTGAATATGTGTAATCAGATTTAAGGCTATGTTCAGTCAGTCTGGTTGATCATGAATACAGTGGTCTTGACTACTGTTAGAGGTATGAGGGCGATTATCACTTTCCGGTTGCTCACACTGTGGAAGGGTTTTGCCGGAGGTACCTGAAAAGGATATTGGATTAGAGGTGGTCACAGTGACCTGAGAGTGTGACCGCAGTGCCCAACGGACAGTTGCTTAAGGTCGATCACACACGACCATTTTATGAGTAATTTTTGTGTTAACTCCCTACTTGTTGACATCTTACCACCGGAGACGGATAACCGTGGCATAAGGCGAGGTGTGCATTTTTAGGGTCGACCTTTTCTAACCCCACTGCAACACTCCTTGTGGGAAGGTAGTATCGCTTTCATGCAGGTTGTCTGAAGGAAACATCTTATTGCTGTCACACCTCTGTACAGTCAGCAGTACGACTTCGCTTTCGGACCTTGAATTTGTTGCTTTTAGTCATACCGCTCTTCAACCGAACTATCTGGTATGGTAGGACTTTGAGGAACAGTTGTTCCAGCCAGTATAGCTCAGTTACTTCATCACAATAGGCAAGCCCGTCCGACCACCACATCAAGGTAACCACAACAGTCGGGATATATATATATATAGGCTCAAATACATACATAGTGAATTTATTTATGTATGAATTCGGTATAATAATAATCATAATAAAGGAACATCTAAACAACAAAACCTTTATACTTACCTTGAACGTATTTCAATGATGATTGATTTTGATAAATCCCAATTCATATTTATATATATACATAAACCATTAAATATACCATTAGTTATTAAATACAATAAAGATTTATTAAATTTATATAAATTCCATGTACAAAATTGATTAAGTTTCATTTCGAATTGATTCATGATCCATTGTTGCTTAGCAACTAAATAAGTATCAAATGGATCCTGATTATCATGATTATTATTAGTAGTAGTATGAATAGTCCATTGTTTATAAAATGGATATATACATAATGGGAATGCATTAATTGATTTATATAACATCAATGAAAAATAATGATCTAAATTATAATAATTATATATGAAATTATTTAATGTAAAAATAAATGGATGATATACATGTAATAAATATGAATTGGAATTATTCATAATATGTATATTAAAATAAATAGTCATATCATTATCATTATTTAGATCATAATGATGATCACGATCACGATCAGGATCGCGATCACGATCACGATTGCGATCATGATCACGATCATCATTATTAAAAAATAAATCATCTGATGTATAAGTAAATAAATTTAAATCAATTTGTTGTTGATGTTGATTATTATTGATATTTTGTAAATTAATTATGATTTTAGGTGAATACCATGAATTAGATGTATTGATCTTCAATGAATTCATCCATACAATATATGGATAAACCGATAGTATTAGAAATGGATCTTTTATTACATGTTTAGTATTTTTATTAAATTGAATAGATAATCTAAAAGTAATTAACCAACGAATTGATTTATTGATTGAATATATTGAATATATTGGAATATGGATTAATAAAGGGATTTGAGAAATGATCAAATTAGGTAACCAATTTATATGATTATCATTATTATGATTATTATTATTATGTATATAAAATGGTGAATATGTCCAAGATGTTATATTCTCAGATGAGTTCTTTATAAATAAAGATGAAATATTGATTTGTGAATAATCTTTAAGAACAAATAAATTGATTGGATAGATACTTGAAGTTTCATTAGATTGATTGTTATATTGATTATTGAATAGAATAAATATTGATTGAAAACATTGTTTTACTATTAATGTATCTAAATATATGGAATTGATTAATTCTTGAATAGTGAAATTAGGATTCTAAATAAAATAAATATATTAAATCATAGAGATTATGATTAGAATATTGATTTATTTGAACACATAGATATTAGTACAAGAAGGCACCAAATATATATGCACCACACGAATCTCAATTGATTTGTGTAAGGGCTGTGATACTGTCCGGGTGCCCAAACCGAAGTAGGTGGTTTTCTTAGGGGGCCACACCCCGAGCCTTTGACCTGAACGTCTGATCCACAAGGCAGTGGAGCATCGTAAGGAGATGCAGTTCCATGGTAGCCAGTGACCAACGATTGGTTCATACGCCATTTGTTCCCTCAGGATACTGGAGCCAGCCCATGTGCACCATTGATTTGAGATTCGGTTAAAGCGCCGGACATTCGCTTTTCGTCCTCTCAATTTCGTAAACAACAGTAATGCCACGAGAAGGTAGTGAGTAGGACTTCCCTAGCAGGGGCTATGTACGCGTGGCCATGTGAGAGCATTTCGAGAGGGAGAGCGGACTCTCCCCACTCTCGGCCGTACCAGGGCATTTGGGGGCGATTTATATATATATATATATATATATATATATATATATATATATATATATATATATATATATATATATATGTACACTATACATTCATTACAGCCCTCAAGTGCCCTGGTATAGCCGAGAGTGGGGAGAGTCCCCTCTCCCTCTTGAAATGCTCTCACATGGTCACACGTATATAGCCTCTGCCAACAGAAGTCCTACTCATTGCCTTCTTGTGACATTATTGTTGTTTACGAAATTGACAGGACATAAAGCGAATGTCCGACGCTTTATCCCGATCCCAAACCAATGGTGCACATAGGATCCAGTATCCTGCCTAAGGGAACAAATGGCATATGAACCAATCGTTGGTCACTGACTACCATGGGACTGCATCTCTTTACCATGCTAACTTGTGGATCAGACCTCTAGGTCGAAGGCTCGGAGTGTGGCCCCCTAAGAAAACCACCTGATTCGGTTAGGGCATCCGTGAAGTATCATAGCCCTCACACATATTAAATGAGATCGGTGTGGCGCATATGTATTTGGTGCGTCGTTGTACCAATATCTATGTGTTAAAATAAAAAATAAATAAATAAACTGTGGGAGAGAACAAACCAGCTTCGAGTTGAAGAGGAAATTAGGAAAACACGATGGAAATGGATAGGATATAAATTACGGAAATCACCAAACTACATCACGAGGCAAGCGCTAACTTGAAATCTTGAAGGGAAATGGAAAAGAGCAAGGCCAAAAAACACATTAAGACGGGAAATAGAAGCAGATATCAAAAGGATGAATACCAACTGGAAAGAGCTGGGAGGATTACACAGGACAGGGTTGAATAGAGAATGCTGGTGAGCGGCCTATGTTCCTACACGAGGAGTAACAGGCGTAAGTAAGTAAGTATGCATTCATTACTAATTTTTAAATGTTAATTGAGTCCTATCGATAAGATTTGCGATGTGGTCATCATCAAAGTAAGTGACTACCTACAATTCCTTAACATCTCATAATGTCAAAGAAGTCGATTCATTTAGACTAGTGTTAATATTACAACCTGATCAGTAGAATATAGTCGACACTAAAGGATTAAACAAATATGAGACTCGTCACTACTCACTGATCAATCAATTACTGCTTATAATTTTACTACCTCTACCACTACGGGATTTGAATCGACAACTGCATCTTTGTGCTAATATGGTATGGCAACTCGAACTGATGTGTGTACGTACGAAGTTCTACGTTGTTACTGAATGACTGGCTGAAAGCATAAGCATTTAGATTCACTTGGTATTGTTTGGCTTGTATCTTTCCATTGAGGTTTAAGACAGAAATTGATCAGTCTGTTATTGGCATATGTACATACTGTGCGTATGCCTCGATATTGCCTTAATCCACAAGCTTTTTGTAGTAAGCAGGTACACCGAGCTGATGAGTCCCAAAAAAGACGAAATGCGCGTCCTGGATTCCACTGCTAGCCACTATCTATCATTGCTTACTACAATAAGTAATTAGAGTTTATTTACTATATATCAAATGACATCTTAAGATTGAATGTGGTAAAAAATAAAGTCTCCAAGTATATTTCATGAATACTCTACATGTTTACGGTCAGTTGATTCGGGGTTTCCGAAAATATTTTGCACGGTATATTCATAGGAGAAAATGATGAATATAATTAGTGGAGTTCTCAGAGAACAAAGATTAAAACAGTTATTTACTCATTGAGGAAACACAAATTATGACTACATAGTTATTAAGTGCTGAAGATGACTATAGAACAAACAAACTATCATAAACAATCATCATATTGATAGAAGTATGTAAATAATGGATAAAATGTATCTAATGACAATATTACTTACCTTGAATAGTGCAACTGCTTTTTCCATCTCAACCATGTCGAATATCACTGATATATATTGAAGAATTACCACACAATCGATAAGTGTACTGTCTGACCTAAATGGAAAAAGAAAACGTTCTTGAAAGTATTATGAAGTATGAGGTTTTATAAGCAGATAGATGTTTAATCAAAGTTTTCCTACTGTTAAGATGAACAGTATTTTATCACAAAAAGAGTACGGGCTCCACAATTAGCTTGAGTATATAATACATTGGGACAAAAAAGAGAATTTAATCGAACTAGATATATTTTTAATATGTCATTCTTTGGTAATAGGGATAGAAGGACAGTTGACCTGAATCAATCGTTTCACCTTGTTTTCCAGTGGAAATTCAGCTTCTCTCCAAAAATGTTCACTAATGGGTATGATACCACACATTCTGTTAGGACTTCCCAGTCATTGACTACTCGATGAGATATAAGTAGCATTATTGAAACCCTGAAAAGTTGTTTTGTCTTTTCCTACTTAGACGAATACACGCTCAAGCTAGATCTCGTGATGCTTGTATTTGCTGAGGCGAAAATATGGCGTAAATATAACAATAAATAGATCAAAACCAGATAAACGTGAGTACAATCGGGGTTCCCTGGGAATTGTAATAGTTAAATAAGTGGGTTGGACTTAGATGATCTAGATAGCTACTCGGTATTAATCAAACGGTTTCAGACAGAATAGACGTTTTTGCTGAACGGACTTCTGTATCGAATAGCAGTGGATTACAGTTGCCTCCAGATAGAAACCTAGGCATATTGAACGGGCAAAAGGAAAATACAAAATTATAATGCAATACTCTCCTGAGTCCATAGGAATATATCAAGCTTCATCTTGAAAAAGTCCTAAGAAATTGCTTAAACCACATCAGCCAGGAATCGACTGCTTGCAAAGAATGGAATACATGCCTATAATTCAGTTTTCCGTGTTGTACCTCAAATTTCCGGATTTGAGATCGAACGTGCTTAAATACGAATTTTAAAGGATCCTCTGGAGCGTTTTAGATAATATAGTTAATTAAAAGGATAAATTCAGTGATTTAAAGCATTCTTACAAAGCAAAGATGGATGGTGGCTAGCAGAGGAATCCAGAACGTGCGTTTCGTCCAATATGGGACTCGTCAGCTGAATGCACCTGTATCCCAGAGTCCATGATCCTTCTGAGACTAGAACCCAGTGCCATTCGCTTCAAACACCATTGTGTTATCTGCTTGGTTACTGAGCCCTGATAGCCACTTCACTGTGAAATGAGGTGGACTTTAAATTCACTTAGTACAGTTCCCTTCAAAATTATTATTTGTTTATTCAGTGGTATCCGGATAATTCTGGAGTAATGTCGAAGTCATGGTAAAATCAACTTTCCGTCACAGCTACAATAGGTGGCCTTAATTTGTCCACTAATGCTCCTAGTTTATGGAATGTACTTCTTAGACTACGATCACGCTGTTTTGTCATTCACGTTTAGAGCTAGTCACATGATATACGACCAGGTTACGCCTCGCCCAAATGTATGAACTGCTAACATATCAGCGGTTATTCACAGTATGTATGGAGAGGATAACCGTTGATATGTTAGCTCTCCATACAATTGGGCTAGGCTTAACCTGGTCGTATATCATGTGACTAGCTCTAAACGTGAATGACAAAACAGCGTGATCGCTACTCACTAACGGTGGAAGAATATTGAGGTTGCATGAGTAATTAGTCCAAAACTTTATTTATTTATTTGAACACATAAATATTGGTACAAGAGGGCACCACTATAGTTGAAAAATTAAGACCACCCATTGTAGCTGTGACGGAAAGTTGGTTTGTAAATGACTTCGACATTACTCCAGAATTATCTGGATACCACTACATAAGAAGTGACAAACATAGATGTAGGAAAGGAGGTGACGTTGTTTTATACATAGCCAATAATATAAATATCCGCTACTTTTCTTGTAAATTTCATGATAGTGGAACTTGTGAAGTCATTATCTGTGATCTTACTATCGGATGTTCTATGTTTATACTCGGCGTCATCTATCACAACCCAATCTGCTTAGCTGATGACTTCGTTTTAGAGCACATTCAGCTATGAAGTGCGAGTTACAGATGTTTGTGACATTAAACAGTATTGAGGCAATACGCTTAGTATGCGCATGTGCCAGTACGAGGCAAACCCGTTTGTCATAAACAACTGGGTATAGTCTTTAGTCTTCAATAATAAAGATAGGAGGTCTATCGACCTATATTAATCCTTGCAGTTTGTAATACCGTGGAGGTCCAATCTCGCTTTGAATGTATTAACAAAGTTACGATAGACATCCCATATTAGTAATAAATACACAACTTGGTTTATGCATGATATCGAAATACATTGAAGAGTCAATTTATCATACTTCGATCACCACCTACAATTCACAACATGTACCAATCGTAAAAGAATGAAACTCCCACTGTAGCGTAGAAGTTCGAGAATGTGAACATTAACAAATACAATGTTCAGTTTCGGTTTGCACATATAAAGAAGGAAAAATAATTTGTGTGATTTTTTGCAATTTGCATTGAGGTTAAAATTTTATATTGCTTCAAATGCATCAACAGAAAGCATTAGTACTACATGTTTCCTCAGAGGTTCGGCTCGACGTAAGATGTAGAACTCCAAACGAAGACAATTCAATCCAGGTTCTTAATTTCTTCGAATGACCTCTCTAATGATCCACGAAAAAGAGGATACAGAAGGGTAATAGCAGAACACGTAACCTATGCCAATATAGTGAAAATTCGTCAAATTGTCCCTGAATGAACTTACAACACCTTAATATCTCGCTTTGAATTATGTCAGTCTTATGTACTGCATCATTTCAACTAAGGATTCTCTTTCCGAAATATATATTATATATGTTGTCTGATATACGTTGTGCTCATACATCTCTTCATTTTACTTTCGAACTGACCCACAGATAGCCCATAATATCTGAAAGCCTATGTCAGTAACCATCTAACTATCATCCTTATAGCTTCACTTTGTAGCGTGGTGTTGAATCGAGCTTGACTATGAACACCGCTACAAGACTACGTGCCAGTAAACCAATAAGATTCCCGTAGGCCAAAATCAGAAGGCAGATGATGGTTGTAGTCGAGATATATTTGCTGGCAATCTCGTAGTATCGAAAGAATACCGAAATCGTACCAAAGGAGTACAAGCGTGGTTACTGATCGTAACCGAATTCGTACAAGTTCAAAGTCAACGGGAGAGTAAGTGTAATGGCTGTCATTAGCATAGCTAAACAAACGAACATAGTAAAACCATCAATGGTACAAATGGTTATAATAATAATTGTTTTCATCGAACCAATCGCGTTCTTTTGACAAAAGCAGGTCACTACAACTTATGTCTTTCAAATGTTTGAAACCAGTAACTCTAAAGTAAGCTATTCCGTTTATTATTCAGTTATTTGAACCATCTTGATGAATAATTTACATAGCTAGGTGCTCCATTTTTTATTTGAACACATAAACATTTGTACAAGGAGGAACCAAATATATATGGTCCATATTTCGTTGTTCGATTATTTTGAGGGCTAGGATACTGCCCGGTCGCCCAAATCAAGGCAGGTGATTTCCTTAGGGGACCACACTCCGATTATTCAATCTAGAGGTTTGATCCCCAAGACAATGGAGCAACGTTAGCAGATGAAGTCACATGGTAGCAAGTGACTATATGCCATTTGTATCCTTAGGATCCTGGAATCGAGGTTATCCTACTCCCATAGGTGGATCTTCCATATCCATAAAGCATCATAAATTCGCTTTTCGTCCTCTCAATTTCGTAAACAATAGTAATGCCTCGAGAAGACGATAAGTAGGACTTCCCTGGTAGCGGCTGTATACGCGTGGCCATGTGATAGCGTTTCGAGAGAGAATTAGTATTTATTTGTTTATGGCTTTATTCAATATCATATTTTGGTTTAATATAGAATTCTCAGCACAAAAACATTTCAACAAGTTTCTTTTACAGAAAAAAGAATAACGGAGAACAAAAAAGTCTGAAACAAACTGTACAACTTTTCAATTAGAGTCATGTTAAGAATGCAGATTATTGACTAGGTTAACTCTAACAACCTGTTCGTCACAGAGTACATTTGCTAGGTAAGGTATTATAGAACTTTTATACTTTCGCTTGCGTGCTTGTATTTTAATGTAATTTTGTCTCGTTCTACCAGAAGATATACAAGGAGAAAGATATGAGTGAAGGGGATGGTTAATTTCTGATAAAATAACACCTGCCAAGAGTTTGCATGACTTTAGATGTCTATCCACAACCACATTAATTATGGTCCCGAAAGATTCACCACACACCTAGTTAACTGCCTTCAGCACCTTCCTCAGTACAGCAAAGTCTTTTCCCAAAAGCCCGGGAAAGAATAATGGAGAACAGTAAATAATAATAGGTAGTATGCAATAATTGACAAATTGTAGGAGTAAATGTCGAGTGATCCCAAGAGCATGCAACCTCTTAATTTAGTAAGTCAGACGGAAAACCTTCTTTGATAACAATGAAACGTGAGAAGACCAAGAGAGATCAGACAAAAAGGTAACACCAAGATAATTAACCGTCGACACTGTGTTTATCAATGAGTCTCCAATGACACAAGCATCATGGGATCTCAAAATGGTGTTTAAATGCCGATCATGTCTCATGCTAAAGTTAACAGCTTGACATTTAGACGGATTAAGTATGAGACCATTAACAACAGACCAACAATCAATACGAGACAAAAACTTATTCATTTCTATAGGATGTAAAGAGGAAGAGATAGGCATATAAACAGTGAGATCATCTGCATATTTCACAAGTGTTTACTGTGGAAGATGGAAGATCATGCAGAAAAAAAGAGAAAACAAGAGGTGAAAGAACAGCTCCTTGTGGTACACCTTCATAAGACACTAGAGACTCTGAACACTTTCCTCCAAACACTGTGTACTGTTCCCTCCTAGAGAGGTAGGAACATAGCC